GCTGGGGGCGGCAAAAAACCTGGAGCCGGCCCTGGGTGGGGTCGAGCACCCACTGGGAACAGTGGAAATCGGCGCCTACGGTCCTTGGTATCTTATTTGCAGAAGCACTGCATCACAGCAGCAACTGAGATCAATGGAATCTGTGCTTTGGACATATGAAGTGCTATATAATGCTAAGTACTCTGAAAAATCAGGTCCTAGTTGTTTCAAATTGGGCACCCAGAATTAGTGGATACATTTTGACCTTAATCTCTCTGTGCCTCAGTTCCCCATCTGCAAAATGGTGATAATACCACTGTGACAATACCTGTACCCTTATGTTTACCCCTTAGAGGATTATGGTAAATCTTGTACAAAGTATGTCTTGTGAGGTATCATTTGAAAACTTGTGATTTGCTGATTATCATTGTTCTGGTAAAATATGTGTGGCAATATTGTGTGTAAAGTTATAAGATTCTACTGTGTGATATTACTGGGATATGTCCCAACATGTTCTGGAGGGTAATCACAAACCAGTTTCCCAGACACAAAAGGTTAGCCAGGACCTCAGCCAGGTGTCAACAAGATCAAATGGACCATAAACTGATTGAATGGCCACTCTTCCCTAGGATAGAGGGTGTGGGCAAAAAATCTACATTTTGACAAAGAAGCAGTTTAACGGTCCCATCCACACAGACTTTGTCCCCTGAAAGTCAGCTGGAGATGATTCTTGCGCAAGAGAAAGAGCTATAAGAGGAGAGAACAAGTTACCTCTCCCTTTCTTTCTACCAAGGCCATCAACAACACTTGAAGAAGAAAAGAAGCAGCATTGGACTGAGGAGAGATCCTGACTGAAAGATTCAGCCAGTAAGACTGTTGGAACCTGCGGTGAGAAAGACCTTTGCTTTGAATTCACTTAGCTTGTTAAATCAGGTATTAGTTGCGTTTTACCTTTTATTTCTTTGTAACCAATTCTGACATTTATATCTCATTACTTATAATCACTTAAAATCTTTCTGTAGTTAATACATTTGTTTTATTGTTTTATCTAAACCAGTGTGTTTGGATTGAAGTGTTTGGGAAACTCCATTTAGAATAACAGGATTTGTGCATATCATTTTATATTATTGAAATGACGGACTTTATGTGAACTTGTGTTGTCCAGGAGGGTGTAGGGCAGTACAAGACGCACATTTCTGGGGGAAAGTCTGGGACAAGGAGTTTGCTGGTGTGGCCCTGCAGTGTAATTCATGAGTGACTAGCTACAGCACTCTTACAATATAGCTGGCAGTGATTTACATGCTGGAGCTGTGTATGAGTAGACCAGGAGTGATTGCTCTCACAGTAAAGCACTGTAAAAGGCACCCCACGTTGGAGAATTGAAGGGACACAGCTGTCCATCAGTCCAGATTGTACTCTGGGTAATGTCACACTCACAATCACCTCCTTACCTTACCTTATTGGTGGTTGGGGTAATAAATTCATTATTGTGTGTGAAGCTCTCAGATATTATAGTGATAAGCATCATAGAAAAGTTCATTAGGAAATTAATAATTCTGTTTTCAGAGCAGGGTTTGAATAGTGTGCAGTAATAATGCTTGGGCTAGTCACTGAACAACAAGGAGAAAACAAAATATTGAATAGCTTCTTATTAAGGGAACACAGTCCAATCCAGGCACTGAATGAGAAATGGGTCCTATGGAAAAAATAGTATGTGATTGTGTAATTAAAAGATGTATCATAGTGCATGCACACAAGAGGGACGAATTAAGGTTGCACAGGCAAATTTAATTGCGGCATTTCCTAACTTCTAAAGGCTTGACTTTGCAACCTTAATAATGTTCTTTTAACGTGGTTTTGTGTGTGTGTATAATATATATATAATGCTATATTAATAGTACAAAACACTGTAGTGCTCCTAGAAAATGCTTTGTGTCATTTCTACAGAATAGTGTAGTATTTTTTAAAAGACAGTAGGATTTCACGCAAAATATTTGCATGATCAGAGTAGAAAATATTTGAGCTATCTTTTAAAGCACTTTATTCTTTCAATATCATTCATTTTATAGTTAACTACTTCCTCACTGAAGCTATCCTGCTGTGACTTGACCATAATTTAGGTGTCACAGGTCCCAATCCTGCTCCCATTGAAGTCAAAGTGAGTTTTGCCATTGACTTAAATGGTAGTGGGATCTGGCCCTAATTAGTATCAAAGATTTGAGAAACTCTGTACCTTGCAGATGTAGAGCGCTTTGAGTTAAACCAGCCTTTGTAGAGCGCAGTAGGGAAAGTGCTGTAGTCTGTATCTGACTCAATGTGCTCTCACTGATTTATTTGTGAAATTCCTGGTTGGGATGACAGAATCCACACAAAGGTCTTAAAGCTGCAGAGCAAGATTAATAGTGCATCCTTATAGTTATAAGGTAGCAAGTGATAAAACAAGCTTCAAAAGAAATGGAGAGGAGGAAAAATACATTTCTGAGAGCTGGAAAGTTATTGACTGTTTAGAGAATACTTGCAAAACACTTTCCAAAAATTAATGAATTAATTCTCACAACACCCAGCAGCTAGGATAAAGTTCAAGCTGCACAAAATATTTGCAATGAAACATGAAGTCATGCAAAATTTGTCTGGTTTCATTTTTCATTAAAAATTTGAAACTCAGACCAAACCTATGAACCTTTTGAGTGAATCTGAGTTCCTCTGTTATGGTTTTATATAGCTATCTATATCTATACACACACACATACAATTCATGTTTTTTCCAAGTGAAAATGTGTGGGTTTGGGTGAGTTTTGCTTTGATGTTTTGCATGCCTACCTATGTATGAATTTTCTCATGACTGATGCAAAAGAAAATGTTAACAAAAGCTCTTGTAAAGTATAACACGAGTTTCACACAACTTTAGGTAATGTAATTCTTAGTGATCAACAATTAATAAATAAATACTATCTCCATCTTAGAAATGGAGTGTCCAACACATCCCTCCTCTTACACAGACACTCAATGCCCAGACAATTCGCTTTACAACGGCCATGTGTATAAATTGATGTGGGAGAGAGCTGCACGGGGTCTACCCCGACTGCCCCCAATGAAACCCGCTATCAGAGAAACCCCCACATCTGTGTGTAAATGGTGGTGGGGAGAGCTGTACAGGGTCTACCCCACCGCCCCCAACTGAAACCCCCTATCAGAGCGACCCCCTGTCTGAGGTGGGGTCAGTGTGTCTGAGGGAGCAACAACCTGCCCCCGGCTCTGGCCCCGCGTATAAAGGCGAAGGCGGGCGGCGGCGGGAGGGAGTCCGCGCGGCGGGAAGAGCCGAGTGTGGCGGGGCTGGAGGGGAGGCGGCGCGGAGGGAGGGCAGGCCGGCTGCGGGAAGCGGGGCTCCGCGCTGGGACTGGTTCCTTCGCAGCCATTTTCTGTCCAACCAAACAGCCGATTTGCGGAGGGAGCCAACCAGGGCCGCACTGGAGGTTTGTGCCTGGCTCCGGCCAATGATTGGTAACCGGTTCCACTGCAGGCTCGAATGAAATGTCCGTCTCCCTCCCCGGGCCCCGGCGCTGCCGCCGCGCCGCCGCCGAGGGGACCAGGAAGTGGGGAGAGGAGCCCGGGCCTCGCCAGCGCCCGCTCGCCTCTTTGTGCGGCCGGAGCCGGGACGGGCGGGGACGGAGCCGGCAGGGGCGGGCGGTCGGAGATGGGACCGAAGCGCCCCCCCCTTCCCGCTGGCCTGGGCTTTTGGGGGCACCGCGGCCGCTGCTCTGGCTCCATTTTGTGGGCCCGGGCGGCGGGAGCGCGGCTCCCCGGGCGGCCCCTGCCCCGCGCCCGGCCACACACGGGGGAGGGCCCCTGCGCCGTCCCGGTCACAGCGGGGGCTGGGAGCCGCGATCCCCCTTTGCCCGCCTCCGGGATCCCCTCGGCCCTGGCCGCGGTGCCCAGCAGCGGGGCGGGAACGGGGAACCCTCCCCCCCAGGTCAAACCCCGGTCGTGTCCCCTTTGCTCCGTCCCCCGCCCTGTAACGGAGCGAGTTGGGTCTCTGCGGTTTGGGGGCCGCTTGTGGGATTTTAGGCGGGGAAGGGGGCGACCTTTTCTGCCCACCCTAGGCAGTCCCGGCCACCTCTGCTGAGCGTGCGGGAAGTCCGAGCCCCTGGTGCGGCCACAGCTGCTCCCCGTCTTCCACCTCCCCCCGCAGTTCCGACTTTGTGCCTGTCTGTGGGTTAGGAGGATGGCGGGGCGCGTGGTGCAGCATCTCGGTGATCCTGGGGTCAGAGCTAGGACGACTAGTCTCCTCTACATGGGCACCCAGGAGCTAACCTTGCAGTCCTCTCACAGGCAAAAATCCCTTGAAAGTGATCAGCATGAGTAAGGAGCGTAGGGTGAGGCCCTAAAACACCAGGATGTGGTGAGAGGATCTGAGTAACCAGGCAGGAGCATCAGATTCCATAGTGGGTAGGCAGTGGCACTTCAGTTTTAGAGAGGAAATAATGGATTTTAGTGTGTCGCTTGCTTTTTTTTTTTTTTTTTTTAACATACCATCATTTTGTCTGAGAGTTGTGTATCTTGAGTCTGTGGGTAAACCTTCCCCTCAGGACGAGAAAGTAAGTGATGGGGAGAGGGGACTCTCCCTTCCCATAGCTGTGCCTTCCAGCAGCTACAGTTAATACTGAAATCACAGCTAGGCTTCTGAACACGCTGATAAAAATAAACTTTCCTAGGTGTTTAGAAACATGATGTGAACTTCAACCAATAGACAAGAAAGGGTGTCTGGTGAAGCAGGTTTGATCTTGTTTTAGGGGATTTTGGCTGAAGTTTAATTCACAAAGCTTATTTAAATGTAAAGATTTTCCTTTTGTGTTTGTAACTCAGGCACAGCTGTTTTCAAGTGCATAAGAAGAGGGAAGTGAAATTTATTAGGCTGACAAGTCTGAGTGAAGTGCAAAAGTAACTAGTAACAAATGGTGACTAGTAACCTAAATCTGAAAACATTTCCATTTTAATAGAGAGACAAGGTGGGTGAGGTAATATATTTTATTGGACCAACTTCTGTTGGTGAGAGAGACAAGTGCTCAAGTTTACACAGAGCTCTTCTTTTGCTCTTGCTCTGTGTAAGTTCAAAAGTGCTCTCTAATAGCCTGGGACCAACATGGCTACAACACTCCATTTTAATAATCAGCTGTACATTGTTTTACACACTTAAAATTTTAGGTGCATTACCCCGTCTTTAGCTCCTTTTATGTGCTAGCCTTTGCTGCCATCTTGAAACAAAATCCAGGCTGTTGACACAGAGAGCAGAGTGCTGTAGACTGCCTAAGAATAACTTGGAAAAGAAAACAAACGTAAAGTTCCTGTAACATATCAAAGACTAGTACTGTATGTGACTCTTCAAGCTTGTACATTTTGTAGGCCACTCCAAAAGTGTAAAACTGCAAAGAAATTTAATCAGATTCTACTACTTCCCTTTTTTGTGGCCAAGTCTCACTTAAATGCAAGTCCTTGCTTCTGTAAATAAGATTTAGTGTAGGAGTCTTAGAAGGCTGTGGGATTGGAAGGGTTGTATTGATTCTTTGGGGTATTCTGGTATATTCAGTCATAGATTACAAGACTGTATCAGATAAATTAAGGCTACCCTTCATCCTTGAATGTCTTATCATTTTATTCATAAATGACCTTTGCCTTGCTGACAGGAAAACATATTTTAAAAAGTTAATTGGGATGCAAAATGTTGCTTTAAAAAAAAAAAAATTTAAGCTTGCTTACTTAAGCCTTTTCTGACAAAAGAAGCAGTAGTCAAAAGACAAAGTGGAAGGAGCCGCTTGGGGTACTACCTACAGTATAGTTGTTATATGTGCAAGAACTGTGTTCATGTGCAGCTGTTAGAATGGATTTCCTGAACAGTGTGTACACTTTTTCACTGTGCCAGCCAAATTCTGCTATATAATAGATTATCCGTTCTGTATAGTCTGTATTGCATCTGTTTTGACATGTTAGGAAAAATACTATTTGTAATGCTCAGGAAAATCAAGGGTGGTCTGATCCTAAATCATTAATTCCCAAGATGGTATATCAACCACTTGTTGATGGTCTGGAGAAAGCTGGCTGGTTATGTAGTATTGGCTGCTGGCATTTTGAGCTGCTAACTAGACTAAAAGAAGCTAAAAATAAATAATAAAATCCTGGTATTACCCTTCAATATAAATAATTTTCAGTAGTTGCCACATAAATGATATGTGATTGCCAGTGGGAGAGGAGACTGTGTGTGATTGTGGATAAGGGAAGTTGTTCTACACAGCTGTGGCTGGCAAGAGGACAGTGGTCCATTACACTCTACTAAGATGTGAGCTATGGTATAGAAATAGCTTTAATCCCTGACTTCAGTCAAGACAATTTAACTGTTTTAATCAGGATTTAAAAATGGATAAAATTGCTAATCTAATTTCTATTTAATCTTAAAATTAATTGGGTATCCGATCTGAACTCTTTCTGTGATTAAACCATGAGGTTATTGCATTATTCAGACTTTTTATTTTTAATTACCTTTTGTAACTATGTTATTTAGAAAGTGTCTGTCTTCTTAGGATTAGTGCCAAGTAAAAATAGGTGAAAGTTATTTATTTACTAAGTAGAGTTCATCAAAATGTATAAGCCACATTGTTAGAATTAAACTGAATAGATCATCATGTTGGAGTATCTAGTATTGGCCTAAAATAAAACTCTCCTGAATTAGTCTTGTAAAATTCTACTTGCTCTTTGCTTGAGGTGAAGAAATTATTTTTCATAAGTGTGTGAAATATTTTTAAATATGATAAAGGAAGGACAAATAGCCTCTGCCCTGACTTAAAAGTAAAAAAAATTGTGGGGGGGGGGAGCTGCAAATGTATAAAGACTTTAAACATTTTAATAAAGTAATTCTGTAGAAATTGATGGAATAACGTCCTCTCTCCCCATCCCATGCACATGCTTGTTAGGCAAAGTTTCTTATTCTAAATTGATTGAGTGGACTATTCAAGCTCTTGCCTAGTGGTTATATTACTAAGACGCTAGGGTTTTCAAAATACAATGAATAAAGATAAAGGAGAAACCTCAGGATTTGGGTTAAATCAAGTGCAGCAACTGAAAAGGATAAAGAAAGCTCAACAAACTTATTCTAGTCCCTTCCCTGCCAGTGCAGGATTATTGCCTACATTGTTTATTTTATTTTTTTCTAGTTTAGTTTTAAATGTCATACAAGGCCTGCTGCTTAACTTCCTGTGGGAGATCATTCCAGTCTTACAAATCACACTGCTAGGGAGTTTTCCCTGTTTTTAAGGCAAATTTTTCATTTCCTGTTATTCTTAGTTATGCATCTTTTATTGTACTGTGCTAAATTTCCTCTCCTCTCCTTGGTATTCACACTTCTCAAAAGCTTGTAGGCTTGTGTCCTTCCATAGTTGTCACTGAGCCAAGCCACAAATATTCCTTACTCTTTCCTTCCAAGTAAATCCTATATCCCATTTAAGTTTTTATGATATTGAGGTGTTCTGAACTGAGTTTAGTATTCTAGGTGCAGTCTCAACAAGGCATTGCTGACCAGGAAATAATGCATACTGCTCCAGAACATCTTTATGTGCAGCCCAGAACCTCATTTTTTTAATGCAGTATGATACTGTACGTTCACATCTAAACTAATTTGCTGTCCACTATTACCCTTGAGTCTCATTTAGTACAATTCTGAATGCCTGCCTTCCTCCTTTTTCTTGAATTGTCTTCTCCAGGTGTTTTAATCTCCATTTTCCCCAGCAATTTCACTGTAATTCCTGCTATTTCTAACTCCTCAAGATCTCTTTGCAATATTTCTCTGACTTCAGTGGTGTTTGCAATACATCCCTGACTATTTACATGCAAATTACTGTGCTGTTTACTTCCAAATCATTGACAATCTCAAATCAGAATGGAACTAACCTGACCACTTCAAATTCCCAATTCATGACTCGCAATTTGATACATTACGCCATATTATCTTTATTTGTGCTCGCTCCATTTGCTTGTGTTGCTGTCTAAGCCAGTCTGTTTTTTCAAGTCATTTTTCAAACAGGCTCTAGAAATGTAGAATGTAGCTGTATTTTTATTGCATAGGTATGCAATCCATTATACTAATTCAACGAGGAGTCCGGTGGCACCTTAAAGACTTAACAAATTTATTTGGGCATAAGCTTTCGTGGGGTAAAAAACCCATTTCAAATGTGAAGAAGTGGTTTTTTTACCCACGAAAGCTTATGCCCAAATAAATTTAAGTCTTTAAGGTGCCACCGGACTCCTTGTTGTTTTTGTGGATGCAGACTAACACGGCTACCCCCCTTATACTAATTCAGTGTGTTTGAGGCTCCATGTATGATGCCATTATGTGACCACGCAAACAGGGAAATACGCTCCTTTTTATTAAAAAGGATATCGTATAATCCCACCTCGGTAGGAACACAGTAGAATTCCTTGTGCAGGATTTGAGTCCTTGAAGTCAGGACAGAGTTTTCAAAGATGCCAAGTCCCATTTTCAAAAAGAATTTAAATGCATAAGTAATCTTTGAAAGTGGGATATAGGCTCCTAACTTGCATAGGCACTCTTGAAATTATTAACCAAGGTCTAGTTCTCCTTCTAGAGGCTTACTGATGTTCTGAAAATTAGCACCCACTTGCAGCAATGGTGTAGTTGCATTGTTGTTACCAGAAGTGTCAGTCTGACAGGAGTCACTGCCCTTCTCCCCCACACTTTGTCAGTGAGTCAGATTACTGTATGCTGGGGGCATTTCTCTGGTACATTGAACTTTGGTGCATTTTTAGAATAATTTCAGTTTAAAACTGGATGCTTTTAAATTATTTTGTAGCCAATTAACATAGCTGTGTACCACAGTGCTTTATTGTTGCATAAATCAGGTCATGCTATATAGAATATGAGTCTTGTACTGAGCTGACTTTGAGCGTGTTAAGTAAACACTTATGGTGATCTTAACCCCAATGACAGATTATTGTTAATTTTAAACAAGTCTGAATTTAAAACTCCAGTATTTTATTCTGACTATCCACTGTGACCGAACTGTTAGTAACAGCCATCTTTAAACAGGCTCATGTTAATGTCAGGAACAGAACCTAAAGAAACATTAGTAGGGTGTCATGTTAGTGTGGTATCTCTTCTCTGGATACCTGGATCCAGATGGCTTAAGCAACAATTGAAATTTAGTTTTTCTTTCCCTCTACACCTCAAAACCATAAAACAAATAGTGTTTACTCCAGAAAGGTTTAGGAATGGATTAAGACAGGATAATGAAAGTCCCAGTTGAACTATGAGGGAAAATTTGAGAGCCTATGTCTGCTGTTCATCTAACTCTTATAAAAGTGAAGACCCTAAGCATAAAAATTCATCCATGAATAAGGAATATTCTTTATCATTTTTCTATTGAAGTGAGAAAACTTTGAGAAGCACTCTTGATGTCTTTGGGTAGAACATCTAATTTAAAAGTCCAAATTCCACCAGTTCCAACCAATGGAATAAATTATCTTCTTGGGTCTTATCTACGCTTGGATTTTTTCCCAGAAATTTTCCCCCCATTGCTACCAAAAGTCAGTTGTACCAATCATATAATCAGTAAAATCACTTGTATAGGCACTGACATTTTACCCACTGTGACTTGTTCTGAGCAGGGTTAGGCAACACTGCCTCAAATGTTGATGGCTGTCTGGTGCCCTCGCTATATATTAATGTTTGCATCATTACCACAAGTGGGGTCTTACAGGTGGTAGCAAGAGTAAGGTGGGGATTTTTCCACCTAAAATTCCCTTGTGCAGATGGGGGGAGGGGGAGAAGAGTCTGTCATCATAAACTCCATCTTGTTTTATGTGAATTCCACTTTTCAGGGACTCCACTTTTTATTGTTATCTTCACTTTGGAGTTTGACCTTCATGTGGTATTGCATCCTCTTTTGTGGACTAGAGCATCAATGTTTGTAGTACAGGCTTGACACAAATTGAATGACTGTCTGTGAAGATGGCACAGAGCAATCTTCAACAACCAGCCCATCCAGAAGAACAATGAACTCTACACAGAAGCCTAGCTGGAAAAGTGGCTGATGATCCTCAACCTAGGCACATGGCCAAAGGGGTCAGAGACTTTATTCAAGAGGGAATGCTGTCTGTGAAAGGGGCGGGGGATGTCAGACTAGTGCCACATTCAAGAAGACCAGGCTAAGGAGAGAAGAGGCAAGAAGGGCTGCCCAGCCTAAGGATGCTGATCAAATCCAGGAGTCGCAGGAGGAATGAGATCAGACCGGGGAATGTATTCAGGACTGTTATTTTTCAAAGATCTGTAACTCAAGTGATTTTTAAGAGTAAAGTGCCTGTGGTTAAGAAATTCCTTTACTAAGCCTGTATTCCTTGCTTGCCTGTCACATTGTCTTGGAAAGGGTTAACACACTGTGGTGGAACTCTGAGGGAGCATATATAAGCACCTGAGGCTTAGGTGGGCTGGGGTGTGAGGTGACTGGACTGTGGGGGCTAGGTGCCCAAGAGAGGTGTCAGACAAGTACCTTCACCTTGGAGTGTCTAAAGACCCAGGGCTAGGAACAGTAACCAGTCACTGTCCAGACCCAAATTGCTTAGAAACATGTGGTATCCAGTAGTTGTGTTCACTCACAACAGAATGTTATCTGCCCAGAGAGGGACTCGGCCAGGTTGTGATAGAGACAACCTTCATGTGGTTAAACTAGCAACATTAATCTTGTAATTCCTATCAATGTAGTTACAAGGTTGCTTTTTCAGTTCACCTTGGATTCATCCACAGTAGATCTACTAGCACCCCTGTTACTATAACAGCCAGCACTGGTGCAGTTTGACCTGTTCTAAGCTGCTGATGTAGACAGGTCTCAAACATTTTCATCCTGATAACTCTCACTAGTGATAGCAACCAAGTATCTGCAATATTGCTGGCGGTTGCAGTAAGATGAGTACTCAATCTGGTATAGAATATGCACTTGAAGAAAACCCTTTCTGTGGTCATAAAGATCCATGAGGTGGATCCCTCTGTAGGATCAGGTGTAAGACTGCTTTTCATTCTCTCATTAAGGAGAAATCCAGATGTGAATGGTTGGGTTTTTGTTAGCCAATGACTATGTAAGATTAAACAAGAAACAACACAAAAAACCACAACAAACAAGGATAATTCAACTCCTGAAGGTAGGAAACATTTACTTTAATTTCCAGATATGGAAATGGTGATATAGCATGTATCTTGCTGAACATTAAATAACTGGAATTAATTTTTAAGTGAATATGATAGACAGCATTCCAGCTATCACACTTTATCTAAAATGGTTGCCTGGAACTCAGCTATTCCTCAATAACAAGGTAATGACAGATGAGTGTTTCTGCTTCCCTACAATGAAAACAAATGGAGAAGTCCTAGTACACCAGTGTTACTCAATTGACCACCTGTGCATTCTACTAAAGTGGATTTCTTGAAATAATGCCAAATTAAATTTTAGAATTTCATACATTTTATTAATACTGATTAAAATTACCATACATTGTTTGCAGTGTAAGTCATATTACAGATGTAATCTTACTGTCATGGCTGCTAGCACACACTAACAGCCAGAACTGCTTGACATTTTTCAAATGAATTTTTCATTGAAATTCAGCCTTTTATGCAAAGAGCATTTTTTCATGAAAACCATTTCAAAATGTTTCATTTTTTTAAAAAAGCTTCTGATGGAAACTTTAAGTGAAAAGACTTTCTGCTTGTTTTGAGAAATGTTTTTTTCAGTTTTGGCATGTTGTCTGCAGGGGGAGGGAATCACCAGTGTTGCTCAGGCAAAGTTTAATTCCATGATGGGTTATTGTTTTGGTTTGTTTTTTCCCCCCAAAATTGAAAAATCATCGAAAACTCAATTTAAAAATAGTTCTGCAGAAAAATCAAACTGTTACAACAAACAGAATGAAAGGCGCTTCTGAATTTGCAGAAATTTCAGTTACTTTATTTGGTAAGCTCATGACAGAAATTAATGTGAAACCATTTGGTCTGCATACATCCCAGAGCTGCTGGTCTGTGTCTGCTTCAGAGTTAAGCCAGAGAGTCATTGAGACCAAGAAGCATACAGGGTGCAGACAGAACATCTAGAAAATTATAAGGAAATGGCAATTTTCAGTGTGACTTGGCCAAATCTGGATGTATTTTCATGGGCACAGCAGAAGACACCTCTGTAGCCCCAGGACTAACTCCCAATCAAATTTTGAGTTCTTGCTCCATACCAATGAGGCTTTACAGGGTTTCTCAACCAGTGGGTTGCAGCCCAAAACCGGGTTGCCAGTATGTGTCAAAGGATGGCAACGGGGCCGGGTCCTGCTTCTGGGGAGAGGAAGAGGGTGAGAGGTACTGGGGTAGGCAGTTGCAGATTTTTGCCCTGCTCTCACCCTGCAGGGGTGCATCCTACAGCTCTGGTCCTGTGGGGCCAGCTGAGCTCAGGTCCTAGCATTGAGTGTTGCGATCTGGTATGAAGGGCCACAGCATCGCTCAGATTTGCCCCAGCTGCCCCTCCACCATGATGATGGGCCAGCCAGGCCAAATTTGAGCAAGTGATGCTGTGATCCTTTGCACCATTCACAAATTTGGCCTGGCTAGACCTGAATAGCACTGCAATCCCAGAGATTGCAATACCCAGAGCAGGGAGCTGAGTCCAGATAGCCCTGCAGGACAGGAGCTACTGCTGTGGTATACAGAGTGTACTTATTTAGTACTTAATATATATACTATATATTGTTAGTAAGAAATGTTTTAGTAAGCCAGATGGTTTTTGCACTAAAACTATTTACTGGGTCATGACAGGCCATAAAGATTTAAAAATGGGTCCTGAGTTCAAAGGATAGAGAACCACTGCTTTAGAATTCCTTTTTAAAAATTGGCAAAATTACCTATGTTTCCCTATTCTCATTCTCAAATGGTTGCAGAGTTTTTGCTGAAGCTTTCCTCCAGAAGCTCAGCCTGAGGCAGAGGCCAAACATGGAAAACTTCAGCCCACACAGTTAAAAGTACCTTCCTGTAAGTTTAAATGTGAACGAGCTACTGAAGCCAAAACATCTCAGGTCAAATTCAGCCTTAATTGAAGAGCAGTGGACACTGTTTTTTAATGAGAAAGTGCTTGTTTATGCCAGGGCTGAATTTGGCCCCTTACTTTCAAGGTAACTTAAATTAATCTACTGCTAAGCAGTAGCATTTGTGGTATACTGGAGTACATGATTGATTTGTTTTGTTATAGATGGACGGTGACAGTTCTACAACAGATGCTTCTCAGTTAGGAATTGCTGGAGATTACATTGGTGGTAGTCACTTTGTAATACAGCCTCATGATGGTAAGAAACCTACCAGTTAAAGTGGAAGTTTGTCTGTCTTAGCATAGTACTATTAAGTATTATAATGTCCTGTCACTTCTTGTCTAGCTCTTCCATTAATTCTCCATCGTTCATGAAGCTAAGCATTGGTATTTATCTGCATTCATAATGACTCCCTGCATGCAATTCAGTTTTGATCAATTTGAAAATGGGTTTGCAACTTTCAATGTTAGCATCGGAGCCCCTTTGAAAGCAATCTAGTGTTCTGGGAAAAAGAAGTAATCCACACAAACATGCTCTACGTTGACCTGTAACGGGGTGGTGTGTGTTTAAATATCAAAGGATGTTGCTTGTGTCTTTGCTGGAAGAGGAATGTCTCTTTTTAAAAAAAAAAAAAAATAAATAAATTTATAACATTGTTCAACAAACAAATTAAATCTTAGTGTTTGTGAAGCTGGTATCCAGAAGAACACTATTGGGTGTGTCCATGTGTAATATATAAAAAGAATACATATTGGTGAGGTGTGATAGAAAACAACTTTCCTAGGCACCACAATGTCATGGGAGCATGTTTCTTTTTAAGAACTCTGAACCTTTCAGAGCTGTAAGCAAGTTGGTACTCACTTGGAAGTTGGGAATCTCCCATTTCAACTCTTGTTAAATCTTAAACCTCATTGAATATTGCTAGTCATCTATTTCAGACCAGTATCATTTTCTTTTGCTGTTGCGGATGGGGTTTGAAATTTCACTTTTAGGGGATGATAAGAAGGAACACTTCTGTGGCAAGCTTTTTTTAATGGCAGCTATTTAAAGTTGATCAGAGGTTTGGAATGTTAATAATCCTGGATTAATAAGTAGAATACAGGTAAGATGATAGAAGGTGCTTGACAAGTGCACCCAATACTAACTTTTCTTTATTTTGCTAGACACGGAGGACAGTATGAATGATCATGAAGACACAAATGGCTCAAAAGAGAGTTTTAGAGAACAAGATATATATCTTCCAATTGCAAATGTGGCAAGGATAATGAAAAATGCCATACCCCAGACAGGAAAGGTAATATCCATGGCTAAATCCAACAGGGCTGTTCTGCTAATGAGAACAGATTCATGTATTACATTCATTCTTTGGTTAGGCAAACTTGGGATCCAGTACAACATCTCTATCTTCAGTTGCTGAAACTGCACGCTTGCTCTTTGAGAGCAATTTTTTTTGGCCAGGTTTCCCAAAATTTATTTTGAACTATATTTGAGTTAACAGGAATCCAACAATTAAAAGATTAAAACTGCTCTTTTGCATAAAAAATATAAACTACTTATTATTCATCCATATTATGGAGTCTATAGCTGTGATGTTTGGTAGTATTTTTTTAGACACACAGATTATACATAACTGCCACATAAGAGCGGACTTATTTGGTCAAAAATAGAGGCTAATATTTGAGCTGGCTTGCTTAGACCTTATCTAAACACAAAGGTTGAAGCAGGTTTCTAAATCAATTTAAACTGGTGCAAACCCCAGTGTGGACACACTTAAACAGGCTAATGAGATTGCTAAATTGCATGACAAATGTAAATTACTGAAGTAGCCGGGTCCAAAGTTGGTTTTGTGTTTATCTAGTGTCTACAATGCTTTACATAGACAAAATGTTCTCAAAATAGCCACCAGACGTTCACTCATAAAAGTTGTCAGGCATGATGGCAATCAAATATTAAGAACTGTTAAACTTGTAGGAAAGAGATTTCTTTTCTTTTTTATTTTATTTTTATTTGTTCGTTTGTTTTTACTTTTTTTGATTGGAGTGCAGGGAAATTGGAATGAGTGAGCCAGTTTAGATGAAATAAGAACTTCCTTCTCAATCTGAGGAAAAATCTAGTTTTTCATCTTTGAACTTCTGTATTTCCAGAAGCAAGATGCCAAAATGCCATAAGATAGGCTGTTCTAATGGCTTTAATTTCTGGCCTTACTAGAAGTACGAGATATGAGAAGGCTTGTGAGAGCTTGTTCTCCAATTCTGCAGACTTGAGATTTGATTAAGAATTGGAATCCTGTAAGCTACTTATCTTAACCAAACAGTTATTGCCGTCTGAGTCCTATCTAATATTACGTAGGATTTGGAGTATTGCTTACTGCTCTTGTCTTGCTGCAGAAACTTTCCTTTTCGTCTGTACAGCTTACAAAATAATCAGACAGCTAGCAAGGCATTAAAATATAACCTGGCATAGGCAAGCCATGGTAGTCATGGATGCTTTCAAAACCCCTGAGTGTTCCAGTGTAAGATTGTTGTATTCATTAATCTTTTCTTTACACCAGATTTTCAAAAGTGCTCAGCACCCACAGTTGAGGTCAGGTTTTCAAAAGACGTTGGCACATTGAGTGCTAAGCTGTCTTGAAAATCTGGCCATAAATATCACAATGGGAGCTGCTGGCCCTAAGTGTCTAGATGCTCAAAAATTATGTCAGAGAGAATATGGGGTTCTGAATAAAGATTGCTATTACTCTGAGATACAAAGGTTCCTTCTTCATATTTCAACTGGAATAGATTTGTCACATATTAACAAGCATCAAATAAGGATAATCCTTCAGTGGATTCTTGCTTATTTACTTTCCTAAATACTCTGCTGTAGCACCTCTCTGCTATTCTAAATCACCTAATTTATTTTTAACGGGATAAAAACTTTGACTCGCCCAATTTATTCTTGGCAGGAGCATATCTGTTTATTCACTTGAATGCTTGTTTAGAAAACTTAGAATATTAAAAACCACTACAGAGGCTTGCTACCGGGCAAACTGAGTAAGCACTAGTTATGAATCTGATTAGGATAAAATATCCCTGGCTGAGCTGCAGAAATTTAGCTCTGGAAGGCCTGAGATACAGACTCAATGGCAGAGTGAGCAAATTAAAGGAGAATAGAAATTCATGAAGATGCTTTGTCCCACAAGACATTATAAAGTGCTGTCCAGTCAGATTCATCATGATAACTCCAATTTCATACCTTTCTTAGTTTCCATTTCCAGAGGGTTATAGTACCATGAGATTCACTTACACTTACAACTTACGAATTCAGATCTGACTGTGAATATAATGGCTTATATCCAAAGAGAAGAAAGGGAAGCATGGAACCCACTAGTGTCTCTAAACTGTGTGCATGTATAACAGCTTGTACAGAATACAGCTGTGAAATACTACAGAAATTGTAGAGGTCTGTAGTGTCACCTGAAGTAGTAACATAATAGTCTTACTCCATTTAAAATGCTATTTTATCTGCATTTTACCTGGAACAGTGGTGACATCCAGTGGCTGTTTTGCATATGCACACCAGTTTTGTTGATATATGCATATTACTTGTGGATATAATTATTGTGGGGACATTCCCATATCTTCTAGTTTATCATTCTGCTACTAAGAATTGGAGTACTACAGGTTTTTAGTGTAATGTTGTAAGACTCTCCGGACTAGTGAGCCTAAGAGCTTTAACCCACAAACCTGATCCTGAGAGGGGCTCAGCACCTCTAACTTCCAGTGAAGTCAAGGGGACTTGTGGCTGGCCGGCACCTTTCAGGATCAGATCTCTGAACTGAGCTTTGGGAACAGGCTTAGTAAGTAGAGCTTTAATTTGCAGTTTATTAATATGGTGAAGCTTAAGCAAACTTCAGGTGACTTTAGTAATGGTTTTTCTTACCAGATTGCTAAAGATGCAAAGGAGTGTGTGCAAGAGTGTGTAAGTGAATTCATCAGCTTTATAACATCTGAAGCAAGTGAGAGGTGTCATCAAGAGAAACGAAAGACTATCAATGGAGAGGATATTCTCTTTGCCATGTCTACCTTGGGATTTGATAGTTATGTTGAACCTTTGAAGCTGTATCTCCAAAAATTCAGAGAGGTTGGTAGTCTATCTTTCCACACAGGTTTAGACAAACTTACTGTGTTCAGTGTTGGCTCTTTTTATTATCTCCGTATACAGCTGAAAATGGTTCGTTTGCACCATACCCCAGAATCTTCTGTCCAGTGACTGATGGTTTTTATCCCATGTCATGTTCTAATCTGATGTAGACATGGATGTTACACATCAGAATAGAACATGACATGGGATAAAAACCACTTAAAAACATAATTAAGAGTATTGGCAAATTTGCTGTTCCAAAGTAACTAAATTGTTCAACTGATTTTTTTGAAGAACCTTTCAAACATTATGGTAAAAATCAGTTTTTGTGCTCCTGTTAAGAACTCAGCCAGATCCTCAGTGGCATTCAATGGAGCTATACTTACTCACACCAGCTGAGGAGCTAGCCCACTACATTTTGTCAGATTGCATTTCTAATCTGCGAAGGGGAAAGGTATATTTTAACACATTACTTTGGTGACATGAAAACTTGTCAACTACATGCTTGTTTGAGCATATTTTGCTTTGGTTGTCAAGACCTTTCCAATACCCTGTTTTGGCATTAAGATTTGCATTTCTTATTGCAGAAGATACTTCAAGATTGAGCATATCCTCTAGTCTTCTCAGAATTTAGCATGACCTTTTTTCTTCCTTCCTTCCTTCCAGCAACCTAAGTTTCATGCAAAATAGAGCTGTCCTCTGCCTTTTTCCACTTTGGGATGGTGGGTCTGAAGAGATTAATGTATATTCTATTCCTTCACCCACCATCCCTCTGTGGCAGTTTATGCCAAAGGATGGGGAGTTTTCCTATGAGACAGTGGCATGAGACATTGACTCAAGAACTGAGTCTGTCCAAACAAGTTGTAGGAACATTGAGCTAATAAGCTGCTTCTCCCCTCCTCAACATCCCTCCATTCTTCCCACACACCCATGCAGCATACAGAACACCCCATACTCTAACCCTCTTCCATGTGTTCATGTAGAACTCTCTGAAGGCTGGGTTAGCTTGTATGTTGCAGTAGCTCTTCAGAAAATTTTTAAGCCCGTTTGGCTTCAAACATACCTCTTCTTTACAGTGACATAGATTACCCTACCAACTGTGTCAATAGGCTAATGGAGCTAGCATTTAAAATCTGGATTTGTTGGCTCTGGTTTTGCCTGTCAGCTATAAATGATGTTCCCAGTCTTGTCTTCAGAGTAGTATACAAAGGAAACTGCCTCAACTTCTTCTTCTTTTTTTTTTTTTTTTTTTGCATTAAACATATGGTCAGTTTGTCATTACATTAGTACTTGCTTTGATGTTTTCACAAAAAGCCTGTCTGATGAAACAGCACACAGTTCATTGGGTGCCTTAACTCATCATGCTGACCTCAGGTTCTGGTTCTGGTTGGATACTATGGGGAAGAAATCCAATATCTTGGGTTTAAAAGTGACCTTCCTATTGTATGACATTGGCACTGTACATAATTACTTCCCACAGCTATTAGAAAAGGCATTAAAGCTATAGCATACAAATTAGTGGAACAACCCAACACTGCATCTTGTCTCTTTCCCACTTCATATCCCAAGAACGGTTCTAGAAAGTGTGTATATCCATGTATAAAGTGCAGCAAATAAGCTTATGTAACCAGCATATGTTCACCACATTTTGAGTACTCCTGGAATTATGCAGTCTGCTGTGGATTCTAGGTGCAAAATGTAGACCAGGGGTCAGCAACCTTTCAGAAGTGGTGTCCTGAGTCTTCATTTATTCACTCTAATTTAAGGTTTTATGTGCAAGTCATACATTTTAATGTTTTTAGAAGGTCTCTTTCTAGAAGTCTATAATATATAACTAAACTATTGTTGTATGTAAAGTAAATAAGGTGGCCAGGACCCAGCAGTGTGAGTGCCACTGAAAATCAGCTTGCGTGCCGCCTTTGGCACCCGTACCATAGGTTGCCTACCCTTGATGTAGACCTAACTATTCCTTGTGAGTTACCACAGAACTCTTACTTCTGCAGAATTTGAAGGATCTCCTATAAAAATACAGTCTTTATACTTTGTACAAATCTCTTATGTAAGGAGTATAGCAAATGTTAAAACCAACTCTTTGGAAGCTCACATACTGTGTGTATTAATATTTTAAAGAAACATGATCATTGGAGTCCTTGGATGTTAGTGTCACACTTCTCATTACTGCATACCGGCTCTGTTAGCAGTTTTAGGAAACTAGGATGATGAGCAATCTAAGGTAACTGTTATAATGCAAACATTTTCTGTATTTCATTCAAGGCAATGAAAGGAGAGAAAGGGATTGGAGGAACAGTTACAACTGCAGACGGTCTTAGTGAGGAGCTCACAGAAGAAGCATTTAGTAAGTAAACCTTTTAAATTGCTAATTCAGATCTCATTACTACTTTCTTTGTAGATCCTCAAAGATTTCAGATTTGAGAAAATGTTAATCATCAGAATTTTCTTCTTAGTAACTGAGCCTGGATCAGACTAGCTGGGTGGGATCTAAAATCAGAATTTTCATTTGGGAAGTGTTGAGGATCACCTGCACTTAGATGCACTCATTGGAGTCAACGGAAGCTTTGTGCGCCTAGGGTCAGAAATTTATTCATCATCCGTTTGATATTAACTTTGCAGTTGGTAACCATATCCAATGGCACTGGGTTTAAATTGTAGTCCTAGTGTGAAGTGCTGTGAGAGCATGAACTAGTGCTGTAATTTTTCATTAGATTTTAAAGAATATAGTTTTTAAAGTTTTCTTATTTCCATAGTAGCTAACCATTCAAGCCCACATGCAATCTTCCTGCAAAAATGCATGGGAGGGAAGAAAGTAAATCACATTTTGTGGAGTGGAGCCATAGAGTCTGCCAAAATGAAATTGAGGTGCCTCTCTGGTTCCTGTCCTTCGAAAACACTTACTTTCTCTTGCTGTAAATAGAATGCACAGACTTTGTGGACGTGGGGGGAAAAAAGGCAGCTGTGGTCGAGGGAGGAAGAATCTTGTGAAACTATTCTTTTCCTTTATGGCTTCATTGTAGCTTACTTCCCCATATCATGCAGTGGGGCCTGAAGGTTCATAGGGGTCCCTCAATTTTTTTTTAAATTTGGAACTAAGGTCTTGATAACAGTGGAATCTTTTGTTCTTGCTTTAAGCACCTGTGGGTAGTGGTGGTAAAGCGGTTGCAGAGGAGTTGAGGGAGAGCTCTCACCACTTTTAAGAGTCAGACCAGTTTAAAAATACCTGGTAAATGCCTCCTATTAAAATTATTGATAAACTAATGCATTAGTGATGAGCAGGTGGTGACCTGCTGAAGCAGTGAGATGCACTTTGCACTCATATACAATCCCATTTTGGCTGTACAGAATGTAGAAAAACCCGTGGAGGCTCTTGTGGCCAGAAAGATAGTTTCCAGCAGGCCTCGTGATTCCGAGAATTTAAATGAGGACATTACAGTGGAATTTTACAAGTTATTTTAATAAAATGCAAAACCCCCACAGTTAATGAAACATTGACATTCACGGTTTAACATCGGAGGTCAGCAAATGCAAAGGGTAACTTTCCAACAGCAACATTAACTCAGCCATTTTGTGCCTTCTGTATATTTTCTGTCATACATTTAAAGACAAACAGTAATGTGTATATCTATACATTTAGCAAGGTAAACAGGAATAGAAAATACTGTATGCACAATTACTTAACATTGCTATAGAAACCTCAACTCTTGCAGGTCCTGATTGTTTGGATCTAAACTTTAGGATTTTTAATCCTACCTCCATTGCTTGCAGTAGCAGGGGACTGGATTCGATGACCCAGGGGTCATACGTAATTTCCCAAGGACTCATGTAAAGAAAAATGGGTGGAGGAAAGAAAGCTAACTCAACTGCATGAATGAGCCCTTTATGCAGGCACTGATGTAGTACTCACAGGAAATGTTCCTATGCTTCTAGGAAGCATGTGCTCCTAACCGCACCATTAGTGTGTGTGCTTACTAGAAATACTGGTGTAGCACTTTAAGAACTGGTGTGAAGACAGGATACACCTGTCAACTGTGTACATCTGATGTCTACTTCCCAAGTCTCTGGGAGATGCTCCCTAATCTGGAAGCAGAAGGCTGAAGAAATGCCTTGACACCTGCTCACCAATCATATTTCAAATTTCCCAGGCTCTGGAGGCTTCAGGACATTCAAAGCTTGAGAGGTTGGGAAAGTTACTTCACACGTGATTTAATGCCAGCATTAAAAATGGCAGTTTTGAAGGAGAATAGTAGGACTCGGCAGGGAGCAGAAGGCCCCTGGCTAGGAGCCAGCAGAGGCAGGACTAGGAGACAGAACCACTATCTCTTATAAAAAAAGTGTGCTTTGCAAGTCACGTATGTATGTGCAGGATTATCTTGTCTGAAGAGTTTAACTTCAGACTTGATGTGTCTTTTGCATGTAACTTTTAGTTTGGGCACAACTTAATTCAATGAAGTCTGTTTTTTTTCTTTTTGTGTGTGTTGTTTTTTTTTTTTTTTAACCAAATATGGTAAAGACCAAATTTAATCTCTCAAATGTAAGCTGTTCAGCTCTGTCAAACATTTGTTTAACTTTTTTTACATGGGAAACTGATTTAGGGTTGTTCTGTTTTTGTCTCTTATCCTTATGTAGAAATGGCTGGACTTTCCAAACCAGCCCCTCACTTATTCTCTCCAAATGCAGAATATCAAAGTTATAACTGAATGTTTAGCCTTTTGCTTCCTAATGACTTCTGTAATAATTCTACTCTTTGATTGTCACAGGGCTTAGACCCACAATTACGATAATGTTTACCTAACAGGTTCTCCATTTATTCTCTTGACTTCCACACCACATTTAGTCAGTTTACTAGTCAAAAACTTTTTTATTTACTTCACTGGCTTCCTGTAGGTCACTGTGTGTTAAGTCCAAGCTCTTCGTCATGTCCTTCAGAGCACTGCACAATTCCATCCAAGCCTGCATCACAGCTCTAATTGCTACCATTACCCTTACCACTGCCCCATTTTCTCCACTAACAAATCCCATCTCCGTCAGGGCAGGGATAGTCTCCCATTGTATCTTGGACTATGTGCTCAGTGCTCTAACAATTTTTTTTAGAATTCATGTGGCCAGAATGGTAAAGTCCACCTCACATTGGAAAGTAAAGCTGTTTTTTGCCTTCATACATCATCAGCAGTAAAAATTTTGCAAGCTGACTTCAGATAATGATTTGATGCAGAATAAAATCTGTTTCAGCTCTGCTGTGCTAATGGGAGCTAACTTGTTTTTGTTAGTAAACAGATGTGAGTTTATAGTACCCAGGGAGTAGATATGATGAGGAAGGTTATGCCATAGTCCCTCTGACCATAACTGAACTTTCTGTTGTGAATGATGATCTATACTTTAAAAAGATTCTATGTATCCTGCAGTTTTGTCTAACTACCTTAACTAAAATGCTCTTTCTTTTAGCTAACCAGTTGCCAGCAGGTTTAATAACTACAGATGGCCAGCAGCAAAATGTTATGGTTTATACAACATCTTATCAACAGGTACAGTATCCTCTCATCCACTGTCTTCCTTATGTTGTTAAAATTCAAAGCCCTATTTCAGCACCCCCCAGTCTGAAAGAGATGAGAATAACTTGTTTTTAGACCTTTGTCATGATTTTCTGACACTACGACCTGCAAGATTACGAAATGTGATACAGCTTCCGAGGACAGAAACTTGAAACTAAGCTTATGTTCTTTTCCCCCCTCTCTAGATCTCTGGTGTTCAACAAATTCAGTTCTCATGATTTGAAGAAGGCTTTGGATTTGGGAATGGAAGAGAGACAAGAAAGCTGTACAACTTGTGAGAGGAGACGTTAGTTTAAAATGACAGAGGAGAGAGTTGTCTCTTTGTACATTAAATAACTGTAATGTAGCTACCTGAGGCTTGACTAATGGAGGTGTGAATTCTGACAAATCTTTTTTCATGAATTTTAAAAAAATTGGATTTTAAGGGTATTAAAGTATTTTTGTTTTGTACAAGAGTTTGTTGCTCTGTATAACTCCTGTATGCATTGTATATTGCAATTTATTACTGTCAGAGATTTGTAGACAGTTTCTTATTTTCATATTGAATCATGTTACTTTTGTAATTCAAGTAAACAGCTGAGTTTAATTCATGTTTACCCTTTGAATAAAATAAGGGTAAAGTTCATTTTGAATGCAAGTTGCCTTTATTATAAAATTTGAATTGTTCTTGGTAATGTAAATTGTCTTGCATGTCTTAACTAGATTTTTAATGTTGACATATTTATTGAAAATTTGAAAGGGATTTTTTTTATGAAACTCTAGCAGCTCAAAAGAATTGTTAGAATTGTTTTTTAATGTAACGTTAGAACTTAATGTTAATCCAGAAGCAAACAATTGTTAGATCTGTTGAAATTTAGATATTTGGTGCCCATCAACAGTGTTTACTATAATGCAATAGTTTTTATTTGAGATAGCTACTACAGGCATTCATTAGGCTACTTTTACAATTATATTAACTTAATAACTCTGTACAGACTTCTGAAGAATAATTTGTTAAATTTAAAGTAGTCTTAGAGCTATTGAAATTATATGCTTTCCTTTTATGCATGGTTTTTGGAAAGCCAAATCCTAAAATTTAACTGTTTCCTCAAGTGTTATAGGAGGATTTTATAGTCCTGTGGTAAATGACCTCAATTTAACTTTTTAAACTGAAATATTACAAGGTTTGGTTTCCTGTAAGACTCTGGGAACTCTCAAATGTTTCAGAAATAGTGTGTACAGAGTGTGTGTTTGTGTGCGCGTGTGTGTACACGCATATGCATGTGCGAGTGACTGAAATGTGAATAGGTGATAAAAATCTGAAATGAAAGACAAACTTCTAGTTTGCTGTCTCCTTCCTGATTTTGCAATAAAATGTACCTAGATAATGTAATTTTGTATATTTAGTGAGCTGTTTAGTAACATTGCTGGCTGGTTTGTTTTTTAAATAATTGGGTGAGTAATCTTGTTAGATACTTCAGTGTCCTAGACTGTGTTGGTGTCAGGGTGGTAGTGTACTAGCATCCCTGTTATTCAGGCTGAGTTCGGAGCCTTTTAATATTTCTATTTGCATTTCAGTGAGCTGAAAGTTAGATTAACCCTCACTCTGCCACCCATCTCTTTTTTAACTTAAAAAGAAAAACAAACCTTTGACCTGGTGCCATAGTTTTCCTGGAGGCTATTTTGGAAATGTGATGTTTAAAACCTTAATGGACTAGATAATCTGGGTTAAAACAAAACAACCAAAAAAATGAAATTTCAGAATTATGTGCGGTATGTGGCCAGAAGTCTTGGTGTATCTTTCTTTGGTAACTGAAATAATGTCATAATTTAAATGTAGGTTAACAATATGCCAAGGCAAGCCACTGGACAAGGTCCACTGTATTCTGTGGCAAGGTGGACGTATCTTCTGTAGCAGTGTTCTCAGGTGCTGTGGCAGTCTGGTGTCATTTTTGCAGCAACAATAATCGCTAAACTTACTTAAGTTTTTCATTAAATATGAGATTAATAACACAAGCAGTACAGGAGCCCTGTATGTTTTATGTTCAATTTATTTTAGACCAGTCCCATATTTCCAGTTCTTGATGTGCAGAATTTGGTACTGAAAAAGGGTAACGTTTAAAGTGTGAGGGACAAGCCAGAGGTTTTGGCAGCTGGGGAGTACACAGAAAGGATCTTGGACTTCTAGGAAAAGCTCATTAGTTGGATAGTGTTGATTACATATTTCAATGCTGATATTTAATCTCTTTAACTTTACTCTGAAACCTAAGATGACAAGTCTCTTTGAGATGAATGGAGCAGTTCACACACGTGTGCTATTCTTTCTGAAGTCAAGAAGACAACACTGCAGCATTGCACACAGGCTGCATATTTTTAGGGTTACGTCTTCAAAGATGAGGGATGGATTTAATTTATTTTAAATTAAAGCTTAGATTCTAGAGCACAGCTCTGGCAAGGGATGAATTCAATGGTGTTGAAACACATGGGACCATTCCTATAGAGAGAGAGGTTTTCTCTCTCTTCCCCAATATTTTCTCTCTTCCCCAGCTCCCTTCCATTTAAAACAAACAAACAAAAAACCCTAAAATGACATCAATTTGGTCATGTCATCTGATGCTTTATCCCAAGTGTAATTCTGTAATAAAGCTTTATCTTTGAATGTTTTTTCTGAAGTAATGTAACCAATTCTTTCCAGAGACATCTAGCTTGTTACCAGTGTTACCTTGTTTCACATTTTAATGTTACCTCAAAATAGCACTAGTATACAAAAGAGCACTTCATGCAGCATACACCAGTAGCTCTCAAACTTTTGTACTGGTGACCCCTTTCACATAGCAAGCCTCTGAGTGCAACCCCCCTTATAAATTAAAAATTCATTTTAATATATTTAACACCATTATAAATGCTGGAGGCAAAGCAGGGTTTGGGGTGGAGGCTGACAGCTTGTGACCCCCCCATGTAATAACCTCACGACCCCAAGGGGTCCTGACCCCCAGTTTGAGAACCCCTGGCATACACAATAGTTCCTTGTTGTAGCTGAAAGCATGTAGTGACACCCTAATATTAATCCACCCAATAATGGAATTCTTGGTTAAAACTTCCACTTTACTTGATCTTTTTGGCCCTTTCCACATATAAAAGGGGAAGAGAGTTAAACTACTGTGGCCAAAGTTGTCAAATAAGGGTGCTTAAAGTCTCCTGCCCTGCCCCCAAAAGGGGCCTGACTTGTTGGGCCTTCTAACTCCCATTTTCATTACTGGTAACTGCAGGGAACTTGTGTGAAAGTGCTGAGAATCAGCCTATCACCCCACTTATTTAGGTGCCGAACATTAAGTACGTGTGTTTTGATAATTTTAGCTTGTGCCTTTACTCCCCTTGTTCTGGTCTCTGCTGTGTATTGAATTATGTGGTGCAGCTGAAGTGTGTAGGGTGGACTTTTGGTATGTATGGAAACAGATTGTAAAATCCACTGACCTGTGCTTATGTGTCTGCTATCTGCATGTAGTATGGATTAGTCAATTTCCACTCAAGCTTCCTTGAGGTTTACAGGTCTCCCTGCTTCCTTAATAGCAGTGTTGCCCCTCAGGCAGGGATGAGTGCTTTGATGGGATTCACAGAGTGTAGGGTGAGTAGTTAATAGTGCTTTGCACAGCATTAACATATTTTAGGCAAATAACTGTTGAGGGAGGGGGGAAATGGGGTGACTTGTCAACTACCTGGACAGGCAAATGGCAGCTAGCAAGTGAGAACACAGTGGCTCTTCTATCCCAAGCCCACCACCTTAATTTCTGCAGGGTCTTACTCATTTTGCTCCCCTTTCTCCAGTGGAATGGAGTATATGGTTCATCGTACCTTAGCAGTGCAGCATATACAGTACAAGTGGGCTTGCAGAGGGATACCTTAACAGAGGCTGATGTATAACACTGGGAGGAAAAACTTATTTCACCAACATGGAGCAGTGGTGTTTTTTGTTTGTTTTGTTTTTTTTAAAGTGATCAGGTATTTGTTTTTAGACTGTTGAATCCCTAGGGCTTTTTTTGTGCAGGGTAAAATGTAGGCAAGAAGGGGGATGGCTTTTCTTAATAGATTTCAGTTTACTTGAATATTATCTGTCTCTTCACCAGAGCTGGAAAGTATTACCATTAAGTTGATTTTGAGCTTGAATCATGAAAAAAGGAAAGAGGAGAAATAAATGAACTTAACTGTTAATCTCTTACTATTCTCTACATTACTTTCATCTTAAAATTACATTTAGATACAGTATTTTGAGGCCCAAATACTTTGTAAAATAGAGTTTTTAATATTCCTACTCGGGGGGGAAAAATAGGTTCTCCTCACCCCTGCTGTTTGTAGACTAGTTGGGTAAAGTGAACCAGGATGGATGCAACTAGCATAGCAAAGTAGGAATTGCACACATTGGAACCACTGCAACTCACAGTATGTGCATACTGTTACAGTAGAGGAATGCATGGTTTCTTTTCTCTTCCACAGGAAAGGCCTTTTTTTCAGAAATAGCTTGCATTTTTATCAGAGGGTGCAACCATTCAGAACTTGCACACTGCAAGAGGCTTGTAAATTATACATCCTAGGCAACTGCATGTTGATCAACTTACATGGTATTTGCAAGGCCAGCATGAAACTGACCAGCGTGCTCCATTTGATCAGTGGCAGGTAAAGGTAATGGAAAGCTCAGTGCTAGCTCAGTGCACAGCTGTCTAAAGCCATGGGCCCTGGGGTGGGAGCATAGTCTGCTCCTATACATAATGTAGTTTTGAAATTTTGTGCCTGCTACATGTAAATTAAATTACTGTCTCCAACTTATGGCTGCAGTACAGTTAGAAGAAGACAGTCACATCAGTATTGAGTGATTCTGCTATGCACTTTCTCCAAAACCCTTCCAGGCAAATTGCCAGGGTCAATTTCTGGAATATCCTCTTACAATACAGCAGGCTGTATGTTGCACTTATTGGAAGTGATACTATCTGGTTTGCAGTTGTATGAAACAATACTCTCAGGGGGCTACAGTCTATTCTTCGAAGAGAAACAGCTTATACATTGACAATTTAACCCTTGCATCCCCGGTAATCGCTCTGGGCCATCCCACACAAAATATCAGATTTTAGATTACTTTTGGTAAAGTATTAACAGTTGAAAGCTTACAATTTTGTTTTGCATATAAACTTTTTCCCCCCTCTCACATGCCCTAGAGGTCTATGCTTCAGTACTTGCAACCACAAACCAGTAATAATCCAGTACTGGATGAAGTCTCTACCTCTTCATTTCCAATCAGAAATTCATCTCCAAGCTCTCTAGTAATGTACAATGCAGGAGTCACATTCATATCCCCAACCATTGAGAACATCACCAATTTGGGGGTAAATGTTCTCATTCTTGTAGATCTGAGTCAGTTTCCCTGGTTAAGTCATGGAGGGCAAGAACTGTATTTTCTCCAATTAATTTCCCAGTTCTTGCTCTTAGGGTTTCAGCATGAGCAACCAATTTCATGAAGGAGCATACCAGCTATTATTGGGGGGCATAACTTTAATGACTTCATATGGACTGCTTGTGCTATTGCCTCATTTTCTTTAGGTAGACTGAGCCAGGAACAGCCAGGTCCTCATTTACTCAAGATAGTGACATACCTGCTGATTTGCTCATCCATAGGCATTTCATTATTACATAATGGGAGGGGGAACTACAGCCCAGTTCTAGCTGCTTCATTTACTTAAGGCTATCAGTTAGCCATTTCTTCTCTGATCTGCCACTGTTAGTCTCTCTTCTGACTAGTTATAGTAGAGCTGATTAATCTGCAGGTTTAGGTTTTCTTACAAATGTCTTCAGTTACTGCCTTAGTAATTCTCCCAGTAAGTTTGAAAGGAATCCATACCACGTCGCCACAGCTCTTCTTGCATCAGCTGGAGATGGGGACAGCAGTAAACAGTGAGAGTATCACCAGCTATACTCGTAAGACACAGCACAGTAGTTATGTCTTGCCCTCCTCCGGCAATAATCAGATCACATTGTAGAAAGGAATTGCTTAGTCAACCTGGAGCAACAGGGAATCTCTTAAATCATAGACTTAACACAAAAAAAGTTCCTAATCATGAGGAGGATGTGTTCTATGCTAGGAACCTAGTTTGGGACATTTAAGTGCCTGCCAGCCAGCCTGCTTCTAGGGCTTCTACACTAGACAAGTCACCGATCTCTCTCAACACTACTTACTTCCTCAGAATTGCATCTTCAGAGGATTAGGCAGTTGCAGGGGGGTAAGTCAAGCCAAATTCTTACAGCACAGGCATTTGATACATGCCTGTGTAATTTAATCTTCTATAAGGTTAATATACCTCAGATATTCCTCTTCAAAATAATTGTGAAGATTGGGGTTAGGCCAGTGTAGACAAGATTATAACATTTCATATACTTCTGGCTGCTTTGTCCTTTATTAACAAGGCCCTCCAATAAGGTGGTGATACTGCTCCAACTCCTTTTGTGTTTTCAGTAATTGGCATCAGAATTCAGGTCCATCAGTATACACTGTCAGTCAGTTTTCCACTCGATATCCCTGTCATCTCCCTCATTCTTCTATCTAGGAAGTAGTCTAGCCACAGGTAATTGATACATTGTTTAGGGCAACTAGAATTCCTGTTCTTATTTCTAAATTCTTCATTTTACAGAAATTTTCCTACCATAATTTTTTTTTTTTTTTTGTTAAACACAAACCAGGAGTAAACATTTTCAAGATCTTATACTATACTAGCTGTAGCTACACCACTGCCTATCATTAGCCTATACATGATTTATAATCTAGGCATCTTACCCTCATTTCAAATAAACCACACTTCATTGGTGTAAATTGTAGCTATGTAGGGGGTTGCAGTGGTAGCTAAATCCCATTGTACACAAGACCCATGTATTCACAATCTAAAATCAGAATACCAGATACTTGAAATGTTACCATAACATGAGTACACTGCAACCCAAGACATAGGTTTTCCACTTTTTACAATTGAAGGGAACAATTTGAATGGAACAAGCACTCAGTTTGTGTATTTTCAAAAACCAGTTTGAAATAGTTTTTACACTGACCGCTTGTACATGTGACATGCAATATTTTCACATTTTTATTGTTAGATATAAAAATAACCTTCAAAACCGCTGTCAGTAACTCACTATAGCTCTCAGGTTTTAATGTTTCCCCTTTTTCTATGAAGACAATATTTGAGCCTTAAGGTTTTTTTATTTGGGTTTTAAAAAACAGCCACACTATCTTTAAAATTTTACATGTTCAAAAAACCCAACAAAACATTGAATGTAAACCCAGGCCAGCCCTTCTAGTTGTCCTTCCCTCCAACAGGCAAGTTTTGGAATTAATTCCCCTGTCTATACAAGAACCACGCTGCTGGTGTGAGGAAAAGGATATTCTTATAGTTCCAGAAACCTCTGTTCATGAGTAAGTGCCTCAATCCGCAATCCCTGGGAAAGTGTTGTCCCATCACTTTGTTCTATCTCTTAGCACTCCTTCTGGAAGGTTTCCCATAAATAGGCATTCCTAACACGCTAAAGGTACATCTCAAGCATATGGAGAGTACATGTGCCAACTGTACCCCGTTCATCTCATTCTATCCAAAATGCCAAGGCCTGATGGCTGCAAAGTTGTTGCAGGCAAGATGTTAAAATCTCCACCTGTTGGCATGCTAGGCATCTGGGAAATTATTCACAGAAGTCCCTAGGGCAGGGGTTGGCAAACTTGTTGGCCTGAGCGCCACATCGGGGTTCCGAAACTGTATGGAGGGCCAGTGTAATGTATTAAATTGCTCCCTGTAGGAATGTGCTACTTACGGTGTACTACCACAGCTGCCAGTCCTGACGCTCCATAAGTAGCACATTCCTACAGGGAGCAATTTAATACACTACATCCAGCAGCTCTCGCAGCCGTGCTGCCCGACGCGCCCAGACCGCTGGTGGCATGGTGAGCTGAGGCTGCGGGGGAGGGGCCGGGGGCCAGGCAGGCAGGACATGGCCCGCAGGCCATAGTTTGCCCACTTCTGCCCTAGGGGCATTTAGGAAAGCGTAGGAACCTCACCTGAAGAATGAGTACATTTTCAGTCCTCTGCAGCAGCAGCCACCTTTGGTAGGAACATGCTTCTGGGCTGGTTACCACAATTCCTTGCTTTATATGGAAGGAGGGGAGAACTTCCATTCCTGCCTATTATTCTGCTATAATTAAACCTGTTTATCCTTTCCCCCTACTTCTGTGATTCACTGCTGGCTACTTCCCATTAGTGATGAACGAGGAGAGAAGTTGTGCAACAGACCAAGAAACTTCTTACCTGGTAATTTTTTAGCAGTTTTTCTCTTCAGCTCCCTCCAGTAGACTGATAAATGATGCATACCAAATACCGCTCTTGAATTGAAGCCAGAAAAAAAACACAAGAAGAAAGAGAGGAAGACCGCGAATAACATGGAAACGAACAGTTCTGAACGACATCAAGCACCTCAACGGGAAAGGGGAAGATTTGGAGAAAAGGGCAGTTGACAGGCGAGGATGGCAAATGTGGGTAGCCCAATGTGCAGCAAAGCACGGGAAGTACTGACACACAACTCATTTTATAGGACAACCACTTTATTACAAAGAATAAACAATGCTTTGAAATAAGATATATTCAATTATTTTTTCATTGTACAAAACGTCAATTTTCTTTGTAGAGATCATTGAAGTAACAGGCCATAAAACTATAACCACCTCAAATCAACCACCTTGAAATACCAGTTAACAATAGTATCGTTAACTATATCTCCAAAGTTTCTGGCTTGGTCATCACGTGCTCTACTTCAAACTATATTCGAAGATATTGCTATAGTTACTTTAAAACACAAAATGTTGGTTCTTGTTCATTTTATTTCAAATTTCACAAAAACATTCTTAAGTTGTTGCAATATCTGCCACAACTAGCATAACTTTTCTACTTATATAGTCAGAACTTTCATGAAAAGTCTACCAAACCCCTTGAAATTTCTACAAATCTGATACTGTATTCTGATCAATGTGAGTGTTTTGTTTACATGTATTTTAACAATGACAAATATGGAATAATGAGGACTTCTGATGCAGTTTCTCAAACAGCTAATTTCAATTGTATTTTAAATAAATTTAAAAACTGGAACAGACATCTCAGTATATTTGTCCAATATCTAGTTTATAAACAAATAAAATGTTTCTCTAAGATGAAACTTAGGTGGGATTTAGACATTTTGCAAGTACAGTTCTGAGAAGCAGACCTCAATGTGCATTTTCACAGTGTATAACGTAATTTAATTTTAAAGTAAAACTGCAAAGCACGGAACAGGAGATTTGCATATGTTCACTATTCAAACATTACCCAACTGGGATAACGGAAGAGAGTGAAAACTTACATAAAGCCAGCTGTAAGTACACTTACACAGAAATCATATTTTGATTGAAAACACCACAGTTTTACCTTTGGTCATCGTGACACACCCTCTAAAAAATAAAATGTGCAAAGTATATGAAACCAAGTGCAAAAACTCCATCCATGGACGTACCCAACAGATTTTATTCTTAAATAATATCACTACAATCACAGCTACCAACCAGCAAATGTTTTCTAAAGGCATCTTTCACAGTACTAATAAGAAAAGCAAAGTTATACTTTTCTAGTTACAGCCTGCGTGTAAGTGGAGATTTTAGTTACTGGGTAGTGTCAAGGTCATAACTGATAAAGTAGACCATTATGCTAATGTTTTTAAGCCCATTTAACTTTGTCTGCAGGAAAAAACCCTATATAAAAACTCATGATGTGAATACTCAGCTTCAAATGAATCTGTTGAAATCAACACTATATGCACAAGTTTTTTTCTTGTCAGGTTTTCTATTGTTATGAGTAGAACTATTTATACTACACTCTTATGTCACAATCAATTCTACAACGAAGATCTGTAAAGTCCCCAGTGCTTTTACATGGCATCACAGATTGTGGCTGTGTTAAGGCTGTATCAGCACTTCCATTATAAACCCTGACTTTTAGAAGTCTAAAGTTTGGCCATAAAATTTACTTCAGCATATTTGGGTTAGCCAATCTTTTCTTGAGAATCTTTTACCAAATAATATCTATGCCCCCATTAAAAACCAAAACAAAATAAACAGGCAAGTCTATTCTTAATTTTTAAGATTACATATTTACAGTGCATGTTCTTAACATAAATGTAAGGGAAAAAGGCAAGTAATTCCACCTTGATGTATATTCTTTTGGCATCGAAGGAAAAATTTAAAGTGCAAAGTATAAACTTCATTGCACATGTGCAGTAACTCATTTTATAAAAATTATTATTAGATGCCTCAAAATCTATTCACCTAGTGGCCTCACACAATTCAGCCATTTTACTCTACACTTTGGTAAACAAATAATTTTTTAAAAATAAATAGCATTGAAATGTTTACATTTGTTCTATTACTGTGAACAAACATTTTCTTTAGCACAGGAATGGATCAACCTATTCCTAACAGCAGTGCTTTTTGAGCTAAATAGCTATCTAATTAATGAAAAATGACTGACAGGTAAATGGGAGTATTGAACTGATTGCTTTACCTGTATATTTTACCAATCAAGCAGTTATGAAGACTAACTGGAATAAATATGTCATAAGAATTAGCATATAATATGTGCAAAACTGCTTACCATGTATTTTAACTTTGGTTAAATTTGTAGACTAAAATATTACAGAAATGTTATGGAAGCAACACAAGCGATTACAAACATAAGAATGAGGTACATTAAATTCTTATTAGTGCAAAAAGCAAGCATATGCTGGAAGCAAAGCATATGGGTTTAAAAAAAATGGATGAATCCTCATGAAGGGTTTAATAGTAGACCAGAGAGGTCTCTTTGTAAACATTAAGAATATTTACAGATTTAAGATTTGTACAACTTCAAAAGGATAATCCCAACTAATAGTAGTGCATTTACATTACATTTATATTTTTCATAACAGAAGTGACTAAGTTTCCTAGTATTTGCATATCTTCAGGGAATGCCTTTAAAGATTAAAATATTTGTTACAAATAGTAGAAAAATCATTTCTTTACAAAAAGCATATATATTAAAATATTCTATACATTTTAAGATACCATAATAAATGGAAATGTTCACCTTGCACTCAGATACCACAGTGATGAATGTGGTATAAGAACTTCAACTGAACAGAGATCATGAGGCTTTACAAAGTTATCTGTGCAATGACATTTCAACACGGGCAATCTCTACGAAAACTTTGAAAACTGGCACAAGTGGCGGATAATCTTGTACACCTGCAATTGTAACAAATTTAAATTCTGCTTCAAGAGTCAATTTCAGATTTAAAAGGCAGTGATAGTTAAAACGTTAATTATCAAAATGGTTGTTGATAGAAGATAGTCAGTATCTAATTATTTATCTTCACTATAAGAATTTCCATATATGGTAGTTCAACCTGAGCAAGGCTGCATAATGCTGATGTTTAAAATATAAAAAAAAGTGTTCATATAAATTTAAGATAAAAACAATGCAAAAATAAAATATTTGGAGCATTTACAAAATATTACAAATGTTAAACACTACATTCATAACTTGAATTTTATTATGGTGCTTCTATTTTGAACTTGATGTTTTCATTTCTGTGAAAAGAAGGAGACACACTATTATCTATATGAAGTCATGGAACATTTAAGTGGTCTGACACGTTCAAACAGACCATATTCTTGAAGCTTGTATCTAGAGATTTCAGTATATAAATTATTGCCAAAACCCTCAAAGCAGGGCTGGAATAGTAAACACCAAACTGAACTCTTCTACATTGTCTTCCCTCAGATTAGAGAAACAGTTTTCAAGTGTGGACAATAGTGTTTTCTAATAGCTCACCTTTGGTTTGAGCCCTGCAATTGTTTTACTGGTTTAAATGTAAAGGCTAGAAAGTAGTAACAAGTGGCTCATTGTCCTAATAAGCCAAGACACTAACACAATTTCAGAAACCTTAAGAGAAAGCAGTGATTTCACTGCCCTTACTGGAAGTGAACAAAATCAGGGCACCTCATACAGAGGCAATAAATTACTCTCTGATTAAAGAGGAAAAAGGACAGAAGGAACCAATCAAAACAGTGGATGCTACTAGGTTAGCTGGCAGTATCAGCAGGACAAAAATGTTGACGTTGAAATGAAGCTAATTAGAATCTAAAGTTTGGTTGGGTTCTTTCTGATAATGTATACCTGTGGGGTGAACCAGTATAATGATTCAGTATTTTTACACTTTTCAGCTTCTACTTGCATCCAAATTAATAGAACAAGTTGTCAAAGTTTTAAGCGGAACTTAAATTAATGACCAAATGTTTCTAAAAACTCTACAGATCATTCAGGCAGAAGAGGCTGCATGCTGCTAAGGAAAAATGGACTCAACAACAGAAAAACAGTTTGATAAATAGTTTTCTCATAGTGCAGATAAATCCCATTTAACGCTACATTTGGTATCCACTTTACCTTGAAGCCATCGAACTTGCGTGGCTGGTCCATATCCTCTCTCATTCTTTGCAGAAATCCTGAACACTATAGCAGGTCTGGAGGTGTAATCAACATGGGCATTTGAAAGCTGTGCAGCAGTCACTATACATGATGTTTTAAGACCACAGTATATTTTCATAAATACAAGCTGATTTGGGTTTTCATGTACTTGTGTGGTACGAATAGCTAAGTAAGCTGAATATTCCAAGATATTTCCAGAAGGTGAAACAGGTGGCTCCCATGAAAGATGAATACAGTCTACACTCTGGAGAAAAATTTGAAACATTATAGTATCACAATGTGTTGATACTCAACTGTAAATTAAGCACATTACATAAAAGTTCCATTACCATTTAAGTGTGGTTATACTCTACAGAGAGTGAAAAGGCACATTCTTACTCAGACCACCAGTCCTTATGTTTGTTCTGAGTCACAGCTGCTTACTTTACTTACAAAAGCATTTACTACCTTTTACTCTTGATAGCAAGCCTGAGCTAAAACAGGTATGGAAAACAGAAAACTTCTACTCTAGCTTATGCAAAACAAACAAAGAGCAGAACAAACACCGGGATTCCAGATGTACAAATAAGGGAATGAGGTGGTGTAAGTGTAAATAATGGAAGAAACTATTTAAAATGTATTATTGGTAATATAACATGAGCCAGAAAAAGCAGAGACTGATTTTCAGATCCCAAGTTGAATTTGTTGGGCTGGCAGCTAAAAAAACCAAAAACAAAAAAACCCATCTTTTTATTTGTAAGTGTACAAATTTAACAGTCATTGAGACACAAATATTAAATTTCAATGTCATTTTAAGAACTTCTCAGAGTGACCAACATTTTAACATGATTACTGCCTGCTTTATAAAAAAACCAACATTCTAAAACATCACCATTGTTTGGATCTTTTAACGTCTTGTTGTCAGGCCTTTTCTTTTAGGCTGCAAGCACCTTAGGACAGAGACAGTTTAACACAACACTAGACAAAGTCTGTACTGATCAGAGAAAAGTATGTTACCCGGTAATAATATTTTCATCAACACCTCTCTCTCAATGTTAAGTGTCTGAATGTGGTTCATAACAAGAAGGCCACACAAAAAAAGTGTTACAGCACATAGAATTTACCCATCAACTTTTGACAATATATGCTAGGACAGTTTTTTTAAGTAAAAATCCCAGAAATTACCAGATTAGGTTTGGGAGACAACACAACACAACACAAACTGAAATCCTAGCCAGCTCTCTCACCTTGGTGATTCTGACTGTTGAAGGTGCCCCAGGAAAACCCGGAATGCAGGTTTTAAATTCACTGACTTTACTGAAAGGGCCGACACCACAGCCATTAATTGCAGCAACCCTGAACCTGTACACAGTGCCTGGAAAGAGATCCTGTTTCTTAAGTAAACTGTAGTCTGGGACATCTGCATTTTCCACCTGAAAATTTAAATAATGCAAAATTCAAGTAAATAAGTTTACCTGTAAAATACTAAAAAAAAAAAAAAATCACACCTAACCTAATAGATTAGCAGGTGGCAGGCTCAGTTTAAGCAAAAACTAAATTTAAAGTGATTTTAGAAGTGTGCGTGAACAGTATATACACAGTAGATCCAAAAAGTTAGGTCAAACTGTTATAAGGGTTAAAGAGAAGCCCTTATAACAGAAGCGTTTAAGAAAAGTTTATAATCCCCAGAAGTAATAAAGAAATCCTCAGCTGCTGTTTCACTGTGAAGTGTGCTCTGTTATACTGAACACAGCATATTAGGGCTTGTTTGTTTTTTCATCTGATTATGGTCAGTGATAAAGGCAGGATACTGGACTAAAGAGAAATTATTTGCTTTGGTAGGGAACACAGGAGTTGCCATTCATTGCTTTGTATTAGTGGCACAATTCTGTGAGTTTTCTTTAAACAAAACTAAATATATTTTTTTATTTCAGTAATTTACAAAAATCATACTAATTAAAGCACTGACCTCCTGCAGAGGAATGATAGATAAATTAAATTAAAACTGTAATCCCTATTTTCACTTCCTGAAAAATGCTTTTTGATTGCTTTCTCGCATTAGTGTAAGTGAATTTTTTTTTTTTTTTTTAAGACAGTGAAGGGAATGGCACAAGCAAGCTTTTTACGTTATGCATTTGAAAAAATGTATAGTCTTATGCCCAAGCTATTATATTTTGTCCCTTAACTTTTTTTTTTATTTCAAAAGTTGCTGTTTATAGTCATGAGATATAACTTTGACTTGACATAAAAATAAAGTTGTATAAATCTTTAAGTCACTATGCTGCTAACCAATACAGAATTCATTCATTTGTTTAAGTAAGGACATGTGTAATGTCAAATAATGTTAATGAGTATTAAAAAGAGAGTCACAATTAAAGGAGAAGAGACCTCAGTGAATAAGTTTCAAAGTTGTATTTAAACAGATACTAGATTAAAAATGTATAGCTAACCCACACCATTTCTTAATTTTGAAATCCAGTTGCAGGTTTCTAGGTTTTCATACCTCCAGTGATCACACACAAAAAGTTCTTCCTGGTTTGAAAATTTACCAGCTTGAGAGCTATTTCCTATGTAATGCTGGCATAAAACTAGTAAAAACTTAAGTGCGCCTTCCCTATAATCATGAATTTTGTTCAGCTGGTTCAAGATTTAGCCTCAGAAAAAAACATAAGTAAGCAAGATATCTGTCAGCATCCTTTGTGTCCAGAACTCCTATTAGCACTAGCTCCTTCCACAGTGTGCCGAACCAGGAAATTCCCAAACCTTTAGTCTCTACCAGTTAATATACATGGGCAACACATTCCAAAATTAAGAACACACAAATAGCACTTACCTTGTTGGAGATGCTTAATTTTTCTTCTGGCAACAAATAGTACTGGCTCACCAAAGCACTGTTGCTTTTAAAAATTCCTACATCGTACCACTGTCGTTCTCTTGTTTTCACTGTTGCCATCTGCCTTAGTGGAGTAGTTTTCTAATGTTTGAGGAAAACTTTATATAGACCACCCATACTTTAACACAACATAAAAAAGTCACATTTCACAAAACTAAAATGTATGAAAAAAGAACTCCCAGTCACTCCAGTAAGTTACACTTTGCTGTACTTCAAAAGAACAAATATACATTTACTACTTGCAGTTAAAATACTGAGCGGTTAAACTTGTTAAAAACACTGGTACTTCCAAACACATAAGGTGAAAGGTATGCAGATAGTATGTGCCAAGATATGTTAGTAAAACATCTATTAGAAATACAAATTGACTGATGTTCTGATGCCATTTCTAAGAGTACTGCCCCAGAAAAGAGGTTCTTCTAGGAAGGACATTAGAATTTTTGTCACCTCCAAAGGGGCAAGTAGTTCTATATTAGCTCATCTCAGAGTTCAAAAGGAACTTAATTAAATTATCTATAGGTTTGAAACTATGCAGAATGCCTAATCTAAAGTATGCAAGACTACATACTTCTATTTTAATCGAAGTACTAATTACAGAATGCATTTATTACTTTATTACGCATACCAGCTATATGCACACAGTTGTACTATACTGAGTGATACGAAATGGGGTCCTACACTTGAAATGTAGTTAAATTTCCTCCCACCTTTCCCAAGTAGTTGTTTCATTTACACTCTCTCAAACCAAACTGTTTGCAACACAGCTCTTATTTTTTGAGAGACTGGATACAATGTATAATTTTCATCTGTACTATTCACAGCAACCTACTAAGCAATGCATCATGTTTTTCTTTCAAACAAAATATAACTAACTACCAGGAGGAACCTGAGACTAAGAAGAGATGTAATTATTCGTTTTTATTATGCAATGTCACATACTTACAGATAAGTGCACAGTCGAGTTATTTGTGTGACCAGTGCTGACCTTGGTTGAAGGCATTATAAAAGTAGTTTCAGCAACTGGAAACAAGAATTATATTAAAAACATTAGTTCACATAAAATAATAGACATGTAAAGATAAACTTCATAGCTTATAAAATTTGTAAATGGATTTCAGTGAGAAGTGTCTCTTGCAAAAGTCTATTCAGTATTTAAGACATAGTTTGGTAAGTTTTACATGCAGTGCTATTTACAACCTGACAATTTTAATAGCTTTTTTAAACTAACTGCTGGTTTTAAATTTACAGAACAACTCTTAAGAGTGTCTGGTGTTGCATGCCATTGCAGTTAAAATGGTAGCATCAACAGGAGACTAGACCTACACAATTCTAAGGCAGTGGCATTATTAATAGTTATGGCCTAAAGTCGTATATAAATTCTGTTTACATCAGTATTGGACTGTACACAAACAAATCAGACTGGGGCAGAAATTGCCTACCCAGTATGAACAACCTAAATTTTAAACCTAGGCAATGAATACTTTTAAATGTATTGCTCATGCATAAGGCTAAGATTTTGTCATGGTTATTTTTAGTAAAAGTCACGGACAGGTCATGGGCAATAAAAATTCATGGAAGCCCGTAACCCATCCCTGACTTTTAACTAAAAATAACCGTGACAAAATGGGGAAGGAGGGAGGTCCAGCACCCACAGCTGCTGCGGCTCCAGGGTCCCCCCCACTGCTCCTGAGAGCGCCAGGGATCCCCCAGGCTGGTTGAGAGTGCTAGAGTCCCCCCACCGGCTGACAGCTCCAGCCGTCACCCCGGGGCTGAAGTGGAAAATGTCATGGAAGTCTCTGAAAGTCACATAACCTGAGCCTTACTCATGCATATCAGTACAGATCATGTGAGAACTCTAAACAAGGAATACAGAAAATACATTTTTAAAATAATCCACCACTTGGAAGAGAAAAAAAAACCTAATTCACTACATTATATAATAATTTTATTCAAGATTCAGACAAATCTAATTATTCCATTTGTATTCTGTGCTTACATGTCAAATTTTTAGAATAGGCTTGTGTATGCAAGACATCACCAGGAGAGGGTCAACCAGTAGTTACTGCTCCCAGGTGATGGCAAATATTGCATATTCGCTTCTATCAAGAAATTTTGTATTGGCATTGTTTATATATTGAGTTTACATAACCTGCTCATTTCAGACATTTTAATCATACATTATGAGGTGGTCAGTCTAAAATAATAAATTTGGTTAATTGGTGGCGACCATTATCTAAAAGGTGGATTTTTGTCAACTTATAATGAACATCTGTAGCACTTTTCACCCACACAAATCAAAATGGTTTACAAAGGTGTTTAAGGATTATCCTCATTTTAAAGTAAGACCAGGGCAGAGATCTTTCAGCTTGTCCAATATCATCAATGCCTGAACCATTATTTCGATCCTAGCCACTATTCAAAGATGACAAATTTCCCACCACACTAGAAGTTGGATGGCCTTACATAAATATGGCTCAAAATACAGTATGTGAAACACATTTCAAACCTTCAGATTTTGAACTGAATGTTGCTAGTGAAGTTTCATCTTTAACAACTGCCCCATTTGTACTTGATGACTCAGTTTTAACAGCCTGCTGGGTTACCATAGTTTGTGTGCTGGAGACAGTACTGGATACAGAAGCATCAGGATTTACAGTTCGTATGTCCAAGTCATGTAATTCAGCTACATTTGCTGAAGTCTGAGGACCTGCAATATGGAAAATATTAATTCAACTTCAATATTGATGTCAATTGATAAATATCAGCCTAATCTAGTTGTTTTTTAGTCTGCTATAGGAATTGATGCTAGCCAGATTCACACTAGAATGACTCTGGTTAGATCCCTGCCATACACCAACTTTGGTGTTATTTAATTAATATCAATTTCTCCCCCATACCAGTTGATATATTTACACAAAACACAAAAATACCTAACTACAGACAGGTACATGAGATGCTTCTTAGTTCCTTGATTGATAAAATAGGCCCATCTGATTAAATTCTGTTATTCTGCTAAGCATTAAATCTGGGAGGTAAACATTTTAACATTGATCAGAAAGCAATTCCTAGTAGCAAAAACATCTGCAACCTTGAAATCCTAAATTTTTGCCAGTGCATGCAATTTAAGTGACCAGGAATATTATAAACTGTAGAAGTTAGTTTCTGAATTGATACTTTGCATGCCAATTTTCAACCTGTAGCAACAGATCTCTCTCTTGTAGAGAGCTGTTTATAGCCAGTATTTGTCATTATAGTGACAGAACTAAACACTTTATTTTGCTTAAAGCACAATAAACTAGGGACAAATTATGGTTTCATCTTTCCCCATTGTTATAAATATGTACAGTAATAAATACTTCGTGAAAGGCTTAATTTTAAAAACACACAAATATTCTAGCTTTGCTGTATTTGCAAGATTTTAACTCCAACTTTTCTTTAGTCTCTAGTGAATAAACTCTTACCTAAAGTGCACGCTGGCAAAAGCGAGGGGGCATTTGAATCTTTGAATCCTCTAGAATCTAGATGGTTTTTCTTTGTAGCTTCTTGTGTAACAATGTTTTCAGGTTCAGTAATATTTTCTTTAGCTTCTAGTTTTAGTAATGAATTAGATGTAACTTGTACCTAGCCAAAAAGAAAGCAATTGTTTGTTTACAATAATTGTTAAAGTTTACAATTTGAGCTGCAAACATTGCAAGGACATGTTTGTTCATAAAACCTTTCCACTGGAATTTCAAATAAAGATGGAAGTAATTAAACTTGTAAAACATAAGCTTTTCATAAATTCTAAATTTGATCTGATAGTGTCCTTGTAACATTCAAAGCTCTGTTTTGGAGACTGCTGGTATTCTTAAATGGAAGTGCACATTAAAAGTTATCAGGTACATTTAGTTTATTTGCAAATAATCACATAAAGTACAATTACGTAGGCTCAACTGTATTCCAAAAAAGATTATGAAATTTTATTAGAAATCCCACTTCCATACTCATACCAACAGGCTCCCTGCAGGAAACTATAGTATTAAAGAAAACTTGTATTTCATTAAGATCCCCAATTAGTCTTGAGGAACAAGTTGTAGTCTTTAAGTGTCTTCAATTTTTGATTCCACACAAGTTTGCCTGTTTTAAGAGGCCTTAAACATTTATGACCTAATCTAGATTTTTGAAAGCTTAAGTCTTTTTAACCAGAATCTCTCTTTTAATGACCCTTCTTTTACTGGTAACAGGGCAGAAGGGAAGTCAGCTGTACACACACTGCTTTTCACAGATTTCCAACGGCCATATTAGGAGCCAGCTGCTACTGACAGGCTTCCAAACACCATATTAGGAGCCTGCTACAAAGAAAGGAATTTCACCAAGGCTCTAATAAAGTAGCATATCCTCTCTGCCTCCCTGTACCCATTTTGCTGGGGCTTTGATGACGAAGGAGATTCTTCTTGAGATCAGGCTCCCAGCTACCATAAAGTGCAACTGCAGCTTCCCTCTTGTATCATCAGCAATGGCTTTTCAAGACGGTCCATTCAATCAGGAAGTGAGGTATCATCATTAGAACAAAAGTAATGTAATTAAGCAGTAAATTTTTTAAGCTTAAAAATATTTCAGACTTTTTTAAAATTGGCAAATTAGGGTGGGAAGCGAGACCATCATTAAAACATTGTCCTGATTTGAGAATCTTCAGTTTACACTTACATGATTAGGAACCATGTGATTTGTTTGGCTGTGAAGATCCAGCTTGATTCCTGGAGGAAGGATGATAGTCATTGATTATAGACTTTGCTGTTGAGTAGAACCACCTTACAGGTAAACAAAAACAAACACCCATTGATTCTATGAAGCATTAAAATGCTTTATATGGAGTCTATTTTATCCCAGTGAGCGAGCGCCAGAGCAGTATGAAGGCGCTTTTGTATAAATGAGAATCAGGCCCTTTGTCTTACTGTCAAAATCCCTGTTTCTAGTTACAGTAGCACTAAGTCTGAAATGAAACTGTAAGAGCAAACAAAATCAATGGAAATCCTTTTCCCCACTACCTTCTCCTTCAAGTCACATACAAATAGGATATTAAACTTACCTTTGAACTCATTCCCCACTACTTCATGTACTGGCCAAAGTCGCAGCTAGATTTCAGGATATCATATAACAAAGTACAAAATCCATTCTGAGCATTGTATTTTCCGGCCTTATATCAAAAGTTTGACTCTGTAAGGCACTTCCAGGCTCATGAAGTTCTAGCTTACATCAAGGAACCACTCCACCATTCACCAACTCAGGGTCAGGAAGCACAAGGGCAGTTTACAACCAGATTTTCAACTCTTGAGTTGCAGTGTGTGCACTCCCTAGGCATAGCCAAAGATCTGGGTCTTTATCTTACATATTTAACTATCCATTTTAAAATTAAGGTATCTATGTAAATATCTACAGGACCCTTTGTAGAAATGTAGTTTCATCTAAGGGAAATATTGCAGTATTACCTTGTGGATTCAGCAGTGCAGTCTCAGGAACCACAGTTCCACCAGTCACTGTAGGCGCTGGGGAGTCAGCATTTAACTGAAGAAGATATCCTTCAACTGTAGGAACTTCATCCCATTTTACTTGAAAAGAATTAGTTGTAGCTCTGATCAGCTGTACCTGTGATGGTGCTGGTGGTTTCTCTAAAAAGACACCAATTAAATACAATTGGAATATTTAAAGTTGCTCTTTCATTGCAGTTCAAATGATATTTGTGTAATGACAGTACATCAACGGTTCTCATTTCTCCAAATACATATGGCATAGGCCACGTGACAAAAAGCATTTTTCAAACAGGTTATAAAATAAAGCCAGAAAATACTAAATTGTCTCTCTCGAGTGTCATACAAGGCACATTTTTTCAAGTCTCATGCCTTTTCTTACTTATTTGGCAGCAGAAAAACCAATGAGGTTTTATGCTGCATATGCAGAGGCATCACTTCAAAGATCACGGAGAACAGAGGCTCCCTAGACAGCTTTATTGAGGATGCACCCAGAAAACTGGTCTAAGTATCTCTAGCACTGAATGCAATTGGACAGAATTCAACAAAAATGGCTAAGCAGCAGAAGACGACCTATGAGAAAACGTGAGATTATAGTTTCATTAAGCAACTAAGAGTGGAACACAACCTTTTACAAGTACCTGAATTGTGCAAACACCAAATACAGCAATTGTTTAGCATGGTGAAAGCAGTAGGAGCAACAATAAAGTGAAATTAAGGCAAATGTAAAGAGCACATCAGGAAAAATCTTACAAATGTTTAGATAATATGCCCTCAGCATCTTGTACTCAAGAATCTTAGAGGTGTTTTAATTAATTTAGCTTCATAAAACCTCTTTGCAGGCCTATGGAATTTGAGACCTGTGAAATAGATCATTGTTTTTAGCAGAAAGCCATAACAATAATCTTTAAATGCATCAACACTGAAGTAATATTTTACTAGAAAAATCTGAGATTGAAAAGTTCACTGAATTTGCTATAGACTAAAACTTCTGAGCAGGTATGATGCCAAGTTTCTATACTGTAGTAAGATGTACAACAGATTATAGTACTTTTATTATGATTTTACACACCTGTATCTAAATACCAAAGATCCTTGCAGCAAACTTGATTGTTCCAAGCTTTTCTGTAACCATCTCTACCACTCCAGATGTACAGACGAGTACCGACTGCCACAGCACAGTGTCCAGCTCTTGGCCCGGGTAATAAGTTCTTTTTGTCTTCCTGACAATCTGAGATTAGACCTATCCATTCCGTGGTATCTAGTAAGTGAAACTTGAAATAATCAGTACCATTCAATAAGTGTTTTCAAAACAAGGAATACAGATAATAATCCACCTAACTAGTCAAAGGGAAAGTGATCATCTGTGAGAATATACATATGTTTATATTTACTCATTTGAATCATTAATGTTTCCAATATTCTCTAACCTCTGAAGTTAAATCAGATATCATCTACATTGCAGGCAAGTCATTTGAGCCCACACTCAAACTAATTTGTATCATATATGATCAATTACATTTTTTTTGCCAGGAGACAAATTTGTAGAAGCCATTTTCCTGATCTTTGGTTGCATCATGTGGAAATGTAGAGTAAAAAGGTATGGGTCCTAAGGTAGTTCAGGGTGCATAACTAAGAGGAAACTCATGTCTAAACTAGTTCTAAAGTCACCTAAGAATATATTTTTTTAAGACTTTACTCATAGGTTTACATCTGTTAAAACAAGTGTTCAATTTATCATCATCAAGAAGGGCAGAAACACTAACCCAAATTTAGATAAGAAAATGAACTGGTACACTTCCATTCACCATCACGAGCAGAAATCTCATCGTCCACTGTCTGTGGAACCCATCCACCAAAAACATACATTCTAAAAATAAGGGAAGAGGGATGGGGGGAAAAAAAAAAAAAAAAAAAAGACAAAGCTAATTAACAACATTCCCAGGCCTGTTGAATCATTCCATCTCACTATATACTCTATGACAAAAACAGAATATTTACAGGATTTTAGTGTCTCAATCATAGTTTACAAGAGTTTGTTTATGCCCCATGTCTTTTTCTAATCGGTGCTGTTACAGGTCTACAGCTATCAAGTGTTGAGCAAAATAACTATGAGAAATATTCCACATTATGCACCAGGACACTTAAGAAATATGCCAGAGGTGTATTAATTTTGTATTATCAATAAAGGCATCTGAAACTGCTAGATATTTAGACGTTAAACATTTACACAGAACTTCTACAGCCCTTCTATGTATTGTTCACAACAGACCATTTTAAAAGACTGTCAGATATCAGAATTAGAAATGTGTTGTATGAAATACAATCTGATAACATTTTTTAGGAATAACAAAAATCAGAAGTTGTGATCTTGTCTCAGAGGGCACTCTTCTTCCCCCACCCCATATACACACACAACCTGTAAGGTAATTAAATTGGAAGCAAGTATATTTACTTTGTTAAAGCTATCTGACGGACTGAGTTATGCTAGCAGGTAGAAGAGTAATCTACAGCAGTGGTTCTCAATCAGGGATATACATACCCCCGGGAGTACTCCAAGGTCTTCCGGGGGTACAGCAACTCATCTATATATTTGCCTAGTTTTACAACACGCTACATAAAAAGCGCTGGCGAAGTCAGTACAAACTAAAATTTCATACAACTTGTTTATACTGCTATATACACACACACACACACTGAAATGTAAGTACAATATTTATATTCTAATTGATTTTATAATTTAATGGTCAAAATGAGAAAGTGAGCAATTTGTCAGTAATAGTGTGCTGTGACACTTTTGTATTTTTATGTCTGATTTTGTAAGCAAGTAGTTTTTAAGTGGGATGAAACTTGGGGTACGCAAGACAAATCAGACTCCTGAAAGGGGTACAGTAGTCTGAAAAGGTTGAGAGCGACTGATCTAGAGAGTAAAAGAATACACAGAAATTTTCCAGATTTTAGGTGTTATTTTGTATAGTTATACAAAGGAACTAGGGAAAGAATTAGATACATGCATGACTCAGTCTAATTAAATGATTCTGGATACAGAATTCAGTTTTGTTGATGGAAGTTTATGGGGCTGGGAGGAGGGTGCACATGCGTGTGTGTATATATTTCCACAGCACTTTGATGGCCTATGAAATGAAAAGGTACAAGTAATGATCAAGCTCTACCTCTCCTCCTAAATTGTTAGCAGCAGTATTGCCTGGAAAAATCTATTCAAGCTAAATGTTATTTATAATACGAAGTAACATCAGTCTTTTTAAAATATCACTCTAAAGTTTAGCATTTCAACGTACACTTCCCCCCCCTTCCCTACTCTCACTCAGTATCTGGAATGTTTCTCTCTCCTTTCTTTCTTCAACTCCAGTATATTACAATATTGAAGTCCCTAAAAAGCTATAGAATGACCCATCTTTCAGATAATTGTATGTGTTACCATATGTTCAAATATTACACTACCTGTTTTATGGATTATCATTATGCAATCGCAAAAGCGCATGGGTGGTTATTTACATGCATTAAAAGCTGTCTCTATTTTCATGAGTTTTTGAAATTTGTTAAATGTTATGGCGTGAGGTGAAAAGCTGTGAATACAGAAGACTATGTACCTACTACTATCTACCAACAAAGAGATCCGAGAAATTACCAACCAGCAGCTCGTCTCCACTAGAATTAGAAGGGTGCGTTGGGCATATTTGGGGCATGTATTCCGGATGCCAATATGCAGGCTCCCACATGATGCTGTTAAGTGGAAGCCAACGGGTGTGAGGAAATGAGGGTGGCCAAAAGAAACCTCAAGACCACCCTTTAGCAGGGAGAGCAGAAGAGTTGATCTCAACACCACAGAGCAGATGGAAGCAGCAGCTAATGACAGAGAGGAATGGAAGAGACTGGTTTCTGCCCTGTGAGCCAACATTGGCGTGAGAAGGATGTAATAATAGTAATAATATTAAAATTCACTAACAGCCTTAATTTAGATGATGGCATACATTCCACAAAGGCACAACATCCGGAAGAGCATTCCACAAGGCCAAAGCTGTTTTATGTTGTAGCAGTGGTGGGTAAAGGTAATCCAGTACAGAAACACTATATCATCATTCTCCTACTAGGTGTACCTTTCTATAGTTGAGCTTTTAACAACAGACATACTTGTTTCCTATTACATTGGCTGTATGGAGACTGCGAGGAAGTGGCACCGTCCCCTTAGTTTCTGGTCTTGACCAGGTCATTGTTTCTAAAAAAAAAAAAAATATATAAGATAGCATTTCAGCAGAGTAATAAATATATCCGATATAGCTATTTGTGCATATCACTTCCTAGATTTCAGGAAATACTGTGCATGTACCTACTATTAATTAGATTTTAACAAAACAGGAAGATAGCCCCTTTCAAGCTAATATCTATATTCATATTTACACAGTTTTTAAAGAACTTCACACTAAGATGACGTTTACGTTGACTGTCCTTTTCAGAGTTATATAATAGGTTGACAAACCTGTTTACCAATTTGAAATTGAGATTATAATCCCAATTTCACTAAGGCTAATCAATTTTTAATTATTTTGGTAAGAATATTTAAGATATCCTAGTAAAACCAATGATCTCACTGTGCAAGTGAATGTTGCAGCATGTTAGTGGTAAAAGTAATACAGTCATAGAAAACTGACACATCTTGTCCTACTGAATAAAATGGCGTTAAGACTACACACTGGATGTCATTAAATCATATGTTAACTGCACTTATATATCATATCACTAATCGTCATAGGGTTTCACTTTTCCTCAACACCAGATATGCACTTAAACTGATTCACACATTGACCGAACTCACCTATGTCAAGCTCCCAAAGGTCATTAAGTCGACAGCCACACATCCCTCCAAAAATATACATCTTTGGATTTCCCAAACCTTTTCTGCAATACACAATGGCTGTGTGGGATTCTCGAGGAGAAGGCAAGATCCCTTTGGTCATTGGAATGCTCCAGCCTACGACTCCAGAACCATGTTGCAGCTCCAGTTCATAGAAATCATTTAAATATCTAGTGTAATATTAGGAAGATATTGAAAAATGTAAGTGAAGGATTATAAAAGGGAACATTGCTGAGGGTCTAAAATTCACCTCTTTAAGTTGTTTTTTTTCCAAAAGGTTATCATAGCAGAGGGCTATAATGATTTATTTTTACAGTACCCAAACATTTGATGGTAGGGGCTCTACAAACAGAATAAAAACAAACTCCACAAAATAGCATTCTTTTCAAACAAGCAAAAAGGAGAAAGATCCAATTTATAAAAGGGAAGCTAAACATAGGGCCAGTATTCATTCTAAAAATACTGAGATGATATTTAAATGTAACGAGGAACAAAATATGGGTAGATATCAGGCACAAACTGTACATCGAAGAAAGTCTGCTTTCATACCATCTTTGACATGTGGCATTCCACAAAAAAGCCATATTCAAAAGTGACACCAAGATTCTTAGCATGATTCACTACATCTGAACAAATTTCCTCAGCAATGGAAGAGCTGCTTGCTAAACTGTAAATGACAAATACACTATGATATGGTGCATCAGCAGAATATGAGCAGAATGCCCTCGGGTTGGTCAGTGAAGGGGGAATTCACCATTTATTGTTGAATTAAATGAAATCCACTTATTGCAAGTTACTTTTAGAGAACTGTCCAAGTTCTGATACTTGTTTCAGTCAATCTTGTTTTATAGGGAGAATAGAGTTTTGGCACTTTACTGCAGCTAGCCAGTTGCAAGTGGTCTTAACTGCAGATCACTGGGGGGCGGGAGGGGGGGAGGAGAAGGAGAGTATTTTCAGATATATGCATCCGAAGAAGTGGGCTGTAGCCCATGAAAGCTTATGCTCTAATAAATTTGTTAGTCTCTAAGGTGCCACAAGTACTCCTGTTCTTTTTGCGGATACAGACTAACACGGCTGCTACTCTGAAATTTTCAGCTTTGATATCCTATGTGTGTTGATTTAAAATTAACTGTACGTTGAAGTGTTTGTAAATGCAGCACATTCCATGGTTCTCTGCAACATCCTAGTGAACAAATCTTCCAACCCAAATCCACTGAAGCAGGAAGACTCATGGGAACTTCAATTAAAGTAACTTAAATTAAAAATACTAATAGCATGCCAAAGCACTGTATAAAGATATATATGGGTATGTCTACATTGTAAGTAAACACCTGTGGCTGGCCCATATCAGCTGAATCGTGCTTGTGGGTCTCAGGCTAAGGGATTGTTTAACTGCAGTGTAGACATTTGGGCTTGGGCTGGAGTCCAGGCTCTGGAATCCCCCCAGCTTGCAGGTTGCCAGAGCCCAAGCTCCAGTCTGAGCCCAGGCACTTACATCACAATTAAACAGCCCTGAGCCTGAGCCCCAGCCAGTTCAAGTGAGTGTTTAATTGCAGTGTAGACATACCCAATAAGGTCATCTGATGTTTCTCCAACAGGAGATTGAAGGAGAGAGACTACTGTTCAGAAATTTAGTAGCTAATCCTGGAGTTCTGCAAAACGGCAATCTATTCAGCTTCCACTGCAAATATGTCAGAGCTTCTAGCCCAGGGGTGGGCAAACTTTTTGGCCTGAGGTCCACATCGGGGTTCCGAAACTGTATGGAGGGCAGGTGTAGTGTATTAAATTGCTCCCCGTAGGAATATGCTACTTACGGAGCCCCAGGACTGGCAGCCGTAAGTAGTACACCATAAGTAGCACATTCCTACGGGGAGCAATTTAATACACTACACCCAGGTAGGGAAGGCTGTGCCTCTCCGAACAGCCTGGCCCCCATCCCCTATTCACCCCTCCCACTTCCTGCCCTGACTGCCCCCCTCAGAACCCTCGACAAACCAAGCCACCCTGCTCCCTGTCTGTGCCAACCCCTATCCACACCCCCACCCCTTGACAGGCCCCCCCGGGACTCCCATGCCTATCCAACCACCCCTGTCCCCTGACTGCCCCCAGGAACCCCCTGCCCCTTATCCAACCTCAGGACTGGCAGCCATAAGTAGTACACCATAAGTAGCACATTCCTACGGGAAGCAATTTAATACACTACACCTGGCGGCTCTCACAGCTGCGCTGCCCAGCAGGAGCTCTCAGCCCCGCCGCCCAGAGCGCTGGCGGCACAGTGAGCTGAGGCTGCAGGGGAGGGGCAGGGGGCTAGCCTCTCCGGCAGGGAGCTAGCCTCCCCGGCAGGGAGCTCAAGGGCCAGGCAGGACGGTCCCACGGGCCGTAGTTTGCCCACCTCTGTTCTAGCCAGTTCTCCCTGCAACAAGCCTAATGGGAAGACTATAGCAAAGGTTTAGTTTGCAAAGGCTATCTAACATGCATTTCTAGTAATTCCATCACTTTACCATTTGGGACATCAAAAAAGCTTCCAAACTGTTCAATGAAGAAGAAATTTTTTTCGTTTGTGTCTTGTTACATCTATTATTTATATATTTTGATTAAACCCAATAAGCATACCTGGGAATGTTATTGTTTGAATCTTCACTTTCATTTGCCAGGCCACCAAATAAATAACACTTGTTACCATATAAAGAAAAGCTGTGGCCAAGTCGAGGACAAGGTAGTGAACCAATAGATGGAGGCTGAGGTTTTACTTTTTTCCACAGCCATCGACTTGCCTTGGGGGGGGGGGGGGGGGGGAGGAGGGGGGAGAAAGAAAAAAAAAAAAAAAAGAAAAAAGCTTCAGAAATCAAATCTGCTCACATACAATCAATAAGTGTAATTTGAGAGTCAAGATGATAACATCATGGACTATTCTTTGCATATATTCTGTATAATCTTTAGTTGAGTATTAATTTATTGAATATTTTCTGATACCCTCCTAAATCAAAGAGGAATAAAGCTAAGTAACAACTGATAATAAATTAATGATGAAGTAAAACCTAATTACAATTTTCATCCACGCCAGCTTTCTAAGAGTCGCAGCCTGTCAGATCATTCCAAACTCAATGTATTATTTTACTTAAATAGAAGCGGAATCTTTTTAGCAAAATGCATCAATCTTTAAAACTGAAAGGTCTTTATTGTGTTTCTTACCTGTAATTCATATAAATCATTACTGTATCTTCCATATTCAACCATTCCTCCGAACACTAATATTCTGGTACCATCGCAGACAAATCCATGGGCTGCACAGCCTGGAGGAATATCTCCTCTAACAGCAGGAAGAAACCACTGATTTGTAGCTATAGTATAAAAAAATATATATTTTTAACGCCAACAGAGTGAATTGATGCTCCTTTTACAACTCTGCCATCAAAAGAGGGACACATAAGAGACACTTTCTTCTTTACTGAATGTAGGTGGCTCTGAATGGGAAAGGATAACAATAAAGAGGTTATAAAATAAAAAAGCAAGTCAATTGATGGAAACAACAACACATTAATCACTGCTCTGTGAAACAGGTGTTACTGAACATAAACTCTGGCAAGTCAAGTGTAAAAGTATAATTAGTCACGCCAAAAAAGAATCTGCAGAGCAACTAGCAAAAAACAAAAACTAACTGTAAAAAATTTTAAGCACATCAGAAACAGGAAGCCAGCCAAACAATCAGTGGAGCTACTGGATGATCGAGATGCTAAAGAAGCACTAAAGGAAGACAAGGCCACTGCGGAGAAGTTAATTGAATTCTTTGTATCAGTCTTCACTGCAGAGGATGTGAGGGAGATTCCCATATCTGAGACATTCTTTTTGGTGACAAATCTGTGGAACTGTCCCAGATCGAGCATACAAGGTCAAAGTGGGTAACTGTCATGCCCAAGCTCACACAACAGTAGTAGTTCTGGCTTCCTATACAGTTATACTAAGTTCTAGATCACACACTCTATGCCCCTGTTGACACTAGAGAACCTTTTGAAAAAATTCCCATTATTGCCAACACCAGTTCAGATTAATCGAATTTAGCAACTTTCAGAGTTTTAGCGAAGATGTGGTTTCCATTACTGACACTGTTTTCAGCACTATGTCATCTAACCCTCCTATCACAAAGTCTAACTAGATTGGTGCAGAAACTGAATTAATGTTAACAACTGCAGGGAATTCTTCACAATTATCCCTAGAGAAGACATGGCCCAGGTAACTAGTAAAAGTCTCTCACACTACTCAGACTCACTGACTTCCACAGACTCTTTCCAAAGAAAAGACATCTTTCTACTGTCAATGAAATAAAGGTCAAAGTCGCATACCCTTTTACTACCATACAGTGTTTTAAAGGGATAATCAATTTGACATCTAGTCAGTGTTAAAAAGTTTCATTACATTTACCCCTACCAGTAATATATGTACATTTGAATTTTCTTATTGTAAATATTTTTCTCCCCTTTAGCTGTCAGATCCCCCCCCCCCCACACACACACACGCACGCACACAATAGGGGAAACTATTAAACTAATTCTACAAGAAATACAGTAAATACACAAAGTAAAATGTAAATAACACTTTCCCCAATCTCTTGTGTTATTTATAACACTATAGTAGATTAGGACATTTTAAAAAGTGGGGTTTTTAAACTGACTGCATCTGTTAAAGTGTAGCAAAGTCCTATCTGCAAGCTGGTATGGTAAAATTTTGCTCAGAAGAAAACCTAACATTTCTCCTCTTAACGAGCTACCTTCAAAATATTTTCACAATCCCTGACTTCAGCTAAAATGCTTTCACAAAAATCATACAACCTTTTTTTTGCTATTTGTATATGTTTCTAGAGTACTTGCATTTGGAGAGGTAAAATGATGGTATAGCTCTCATTTTCTCAACTTGGGTGTCCTTTAATTCTTATCCCAACCAGCAGTAGCAAAAATTGATTTGTACAGAACAGCCTACTTATTCCCCATCTTATGTCTCACACTGAAATTCTACACAACTATCCCAGTCCGATGGGATTCTGTGCAGTAAACGTTTCAGCATCTAAGCTTTCATGAATAATATAAAATTAGTCTTCAGGAGTGGCTATCTGGAAAAACTCCCAATGCAGCCACATTCACTTTTCTAACCCAGATCTATTTCTCTTCATATTCAGTGCCTTGAGCTGCCACCAGAAGGAACAAGTGGGATTTGGAGGATGAAGGAGAGACAAGAGGAATAAACTGCTCTCCAGTTGCTCAAGAGGCACCTTCTCAGTCAATTCCATCCAACCCTCCCTAGCTAAAGAGGAGGATATGACAGATTCACACCTGGGGACTTCACTTCCTTTGCCTTAAAAGAGGGAGTACATCCAGCCTCGGCATTCAAATGCTGGCACAACGCCAGCAGGACCCAAATCTAGGGAAGATTTGTCTCTCAGCGGCCTGCAGCCCACACAACAGCAGCTGCCGCCAGGCACCCAGGGCTAAACCTGAGTCCCACGGAAATCAGCGGAGCAGAGATAGAAAACATCCCTCCCGCCCCACACGTGCACCCCCTATGTGCCCCCACGCGCACCCCAATGCCCCGTGCGCCCGCACCGCTGACTCCCTGGGGAGATCCGCTCAGCCCCAGCGCGCCCAGCCCGGCCGTGGCGGCGGCTCCGGACCCGCCCGCAGCGGGCCGCGCCCCGTACCCGTGTTGTAGACGTGCAGCTCGTCGGCGATGCCCTCGTTGCCGCCCCCGAAGATGATCACCAGCTCGCGGATGGCCACGGCGCGGTGCCCGTGGCGGGAGCGGGGCACCGGCCCGGTGGAGGAAGGGACCCGCCTCCAGCTCAGGGCAGCAGCAGCAGCGGCGGCGGCCGCCGCCATCTTGGCGCCACTCCCACAATGCACCGCGCGGGCGAAGGGCGGCCGCGGGTGGCGAGAAGAGGAGGCGTTTGGACTGCGCGCGCGCGCAGCGGCCGCTCCAAGAGAACGTCCCTTTGATTGCGTCAGACACACGCCAGCGTAGCGTGTGGGGGCGGGAGACTGCGCCCTGTAGGACTCTGCTCCCTGCAGCAGTTACTGCTCGGTGGTGGAGTGTGAGAAACTCCTGTTGTAAAAAACTGCTACCTGAGGTAGCAAATTCCTACGGGTAGCAACTTGTGCCTGGCGCTCATGGCAGGACAAAGTATTATCATAGACTCGCGGGATTGGACGGGACCTCGAGAGGTCATCTAGTCCAGTCCCCTGCACTCAAGGCAGGACTAAGGGCTTGGCTACACTTGCAAGTTAAAGCGCATTAAATCAGCCCCGGGCGCCCTAACTCCTGAGGTGTCCACACTGGCAAGGCACGTAGAGCGCTTGGACTCCGCGGCTGGAGCGCCCCAGTAATCCACCTCCTTGAGAAGCATAATGCTTGCTGTGCCCCGGCTGGAGCGCCGCAGCGCCAGTGTGGACGCCCTGGTCTATTAATGTGCTCTGATCGGCCTCCAGAAGTGTCCCACAATGCCTGTTCTAGCCACTCTGGTCATCACTTTGAACTCTACTGCCCTGCCCTCAGATGACCAACTGTCAGACCCGCCCTTTAAATTCTCTGGGAATTTTGAAAATCCCATTCCTGTTCGCTCAGCCAGGCGTGGCGTGCTCTCAGCGCATCTTTCCAGGTGACCATGCCTCCACACGCCAGGCGATCCCCAGTATGGAGCAATGGCGAGGTGCTGGACCTCATCAGTGTTTGTGGGGAGGAAGCTGTCCAGTCACAGCTGTGCTCCAGCCGTAGGAATTACAATACCTTCGGGCAGATATCAAGGGACATGATGGAAAGGGGCCATGACCGGGACGCACAGCAGTGCAGGGTTAAAGTGAAGGAGCTGCGGAATGCCTACCGCAAAGGGCGCGATGCAAACTGCCGCTCAGGTGCTGCCCCCACGACCTGCTGTTTCTACAAAGAGCTGAACGCAATACTTGGGGGCGACCCCACCTCCACTCCGAAGACCACCATGGACACTTCAGAGGCCAGTTCAACAAGGCAGGAGGAGGAAAGTGGGAGTGGGGATGCTGAGGAGGAGGGGGACAGCCTGGCATCCCTAGATGCATGCAGCCAGGAGCTGTTTTCAAGCCAGGAGGAAGGTAGCCAGTCGCAGCAGACGATGCTTGGGGAAGAACAAACAGCAGAGGAGGTGCCCGGTAAGTGGCTTTTATTTTGGGAAGGTAGTTCGGTGCGGGCTCTTGGGGCGAGGAAGGTTAGGGCTGCATGCATGCCTAGATGCGGAATAGGGCGTTGATGTGCTCTCTCACATCGTGGTAATCGGCCTCAGTGATCTCTTCAAAGGTCTCATGCAGAAGTTGGGCAATCCACTTGCGCAGGTTCCTTGGCAGAGCTACTGTGCTCCTTGTCCTGTAAGGCTAACATATCCGCACCACTGTGCCGTGACGGGCGGGGGGACCATTGCTGCACACAGGCAAGCTGCATATGGGCCAGGGCGGAAGCTGCATTGTAGTAGAAGACCCTCCCTTGCTTCCCAGGTCACCCTCAGCTGCAAGATATCTTCCAGGACGAACTCATCCTGTGGAAAATGTGGGGACGGTGTTCAGTATAGGGGCCCCCTACAGCTGTTGGCTCTCCCCAAGGCACAGAACCCCAGAGGACAGTACAGCCATGAAACAATCAGTCCCCCTTGCCCCTGTGCTTACTCACCATTTTGGGGCTCCTGTGGGTTATGTGCGCTTGCTTTGGGATGGGCAATTTCTGCTATTGTGTACTCTGTACTTGTCTTTAAGTACGGCCGAATCATTGCTCTGTCTGGTGTGAACAATGCTGCCTCTGTTAAGTGTTGCATTTTGGCTTTACAGATGCAACCTTGAGAACCCAGCCGTCCTTGTTATCAACGTCCGAAAGACTCCAAAGAATTAGGAAGCATCCGCAAAGAAGCAAAGAGGACCTGATGCATGACTTAATGAAGATCAAAAAGTGCAGGAGTGGCGGGAGAGTGAAAGGAGGCTCCGCCAACAGAATGTGGATTGCCGACACCAAAGCATGGAGCAGCTGCTAAGCATCATGGAGCGCCAAGCGGACTTGATACAGGCACTCATAGCAATGCAGACAGAGCACTTCCGTGCCCTCCCCCCCCCAGCTCTTGTCCCAAAACTCTTTCCCTTGTGCTCCCATGTCACCGCCAACCCACTTTCCCCAACATCCGGGTTCTTATCGCCACCAGCTGCCTCCAACACCTGTAGCTTCACCACCCAGCCCTGCAAACTACAACCGTTACCCACTGCACTCAACCCCCATCACCATGCATTTTAGCCAGCCTGAAGTGCAGCACTCATTGCACGGCACTCCAAACAGGAAAGCTGAGTATGATAACAAGACATACGCAAATCTCTTATTGTCCCGTTCCCCATCCCACACAGCACAGATTTGTCATGCCCTTTCGGTTTCCCAAACAGTTGTGTTTCTTTTCAATAAATTAATTCTTTGGCTTTGAAAACATTCTTTATTATTGCATTAAGTAAAAGATACCATAGCTCAGGAAAGCAACAGGCACTGCAAGTCAGTGCATCATACGTAGCAAACACACATTACTGGTGGCTTTCAGCATCAAATTGCTCCCTCAAGGCATCCCTAATCCTTACAGCCCCGTGCTGGGCCCTTCTAATAGGCCCGGTCTCTGGCTGTTCAAATTCAGCCTCCAGGTGTTGAACCTCCGAGGTCCATGCCTGAGTGAAGCTTTCACTCTTCCCTTCACAAATGTTATGGAGGGTACAGCACGCAGATATAACCCCGGGGATTTTGTCATCGGACAAGTCCAGCTTCCCATACAGACAGCACCAGTGGCCCTTTAAACGGCCAAAAGCACACTCCACAGTCATTCTGCACCGACTCAGCCTGTTGTTGAACCGCTCCTTGCTGCTGTCAAGGCTCCCTGTGTAGGGTTTCATGAGCCATGGCATTAAAAGGTAAGCGGGGTCTTCAGTGGGCATTTCGACTTCCCCTACGGTGATCTTCTGGTCTGGGAAGAAAGTCCCGGCTTGCAGCTTCCTGAACAGGCCTGTGTTCCGAAAGATGCGTGCGTCATGCACCTTTCCGGACTAGCCTGCATTAATGTCAATGAAACGCCCACAGTGATCCACAAGCACCTGGAGAACCATAGAGAAATACCCCTTGCAATTTATGTTCTTGAAGGCTAGGTGGGCTGGTGCCAGAATTGGAATGTGTGTCCCATCTATCACCCCTCCACAGTTAGGGAAACCCATTTGTGCAAAGCCAGCCACAATGTCACGCACGTTACCCAGAGTCACGGTTCTTCTGAGCAGGATGCGATTAATGGCCCTGCAAACTTGCATCAACACGATTCCAAGAGTCGACTTTCCCACTCCAAACTGGTTAGCGATTGATTGGTAGCTGTCTGGAGTTGCCAGCTTCCAGATTGCAATAGCCACTCACTTCTCCACTGGCAGGGAAGCTCTCAATCTCGTGTCCTTGCGCCGCAGGGTGGAGGCAAGCTCAGCACACAGTCCCATGAAAGTGGCTTTTCTCATCCGAAAGTTCTGCAGCCACTGCTCGTCATCCCAGACTTGCATTATGATGTGATCCCACCACTCAGTGCTTGTTTCCTGAGCCCAAAAGCGGCGTTCCACTGTGGGGAGGCACGTCCATGAGTGCCACAAACATTCTCGTGTCGTATGCGTTACGCGAGTCGACATCATCATCGGACTCCTCACTGTCAGTTTGTAGCTTAAGGAGTAACTCGACTGCAATTCATGACGGGCTGGCAAGACCCATCAACATATTCCTCACAAGTTCAGGATCCATTCCCGCAGACCGAAAGGGAAGACAGAGCGCGCAGTACAAAAAACATTGAAAGATGGTGCCAAATGTGGACGGAAGCACAGGGATTGCTGGGATCTGAAGCGATGTATCACGGGGCATTGGGACAGGACCCAGAATGCCCCGCACACACCCCTGCCTCCTTCCCACAAGCCACAGCACCAGAATGGGGAGAGGTGCTCTGTGGGATAGCTGCCCATAATGCGCCATTCCCAATGCCGCTGCAAGTGCCGCAAATGTGGCTACGCCAGTGCACTTGCAGCTGACAGTGTGAACACACTGCCGCGCTTTCCCTGCAGCAGTCTCCGAGGGCTGATTTAATTCACAGCGCTCTACATCTGCAAGTGTAGCCATGCCCTAAGTATTATCTAGACCATCCCTGGCAGGTGTTTGTCCAAACTGCTCTTAAAAATCCCCAATGATGGAGATTCCACAATCTCCCTAGGCAATTTATTCCAGTGCTTAACCACTCTGACAGTTGAGCAGTTTTTCCTAATGTCCAACCTAAACCGCCCTTGCTGCAATTTAAGCCCATTGCTTCTTGTCCTATCCTCAGGGGCTAAGAAGAACAATTTTTCTCCCTCCTCCTTGTAACAACCTTTTATGTACTTGAAAACTGTTATCATGTCCCCTCTCAGTCTTCTCTTCTCCAGACTAAACAAACCCATTTTTTTTAATCTTCCCTCATAGGTCATGTTTTCTAGACCTTTAATCATTTTTGTTGCTCTTCTCTGGACTTTCTCCAATTTGTACACATCTTTCCTAAATGTGGTGCTCCAAACTGGACACAATACTCCAGTTGAGGCCTAATCAGCACGGAGTTGAGTGGAAGAATTACTTCTCGTGTCTTGCTTATGACACTCCTGCTAATACATCACAGGATTATGTTCCCTTTTTTTTGCAGCAGTGTTACACTGTTGACTCATATTTAGCTTGTGATCCACTATGGCCCCCAGATCCCTTTCCACAGTACTCCTTCCTAGGATGCCATTTCCTATTTTGTATTTGTGCAACTGATTGTTCCTTCCCAAATGGAGTACTTTGCATTTGTCCTTAT